GCCCACGGCACCGTCACCACCAATGCCTCCCCGGCGCGCTTCACCGACACGTCCCAGGAGTGCCGGTTCTGCGGTAAAGTGGAGACGGTGGCGCACCGATAAGTGGAGCGCAAGAGCCTGGACTCGCTGTTCAAGGTCCTGAGAAACATCCTCCTAAGGTTCAGCCTCCAATTCTCCCCGACGGTCCTCATCTTTGGATACCCGAAGGGCGACGGACCCCAACATCTTCAGGGGCCAGTCAACGTGCTCTTCGGCTACGCCAAGCTCGCCATATACAGGGCGAGGAAGGTGGCCCTGGAGGGGCAACGTCCGGCCAGCAGCCTGGGCATCTTCCACGCTCCGGTCGGAGCCAGGGTGTGGCTGGAGTTCCGCCGTGCGCGGCTGACCCACGCCGTGCCGGCCTTCAAGGAGCGGTGGGCGCTGGAGGAGGCCGTGTGCTCGGTGGCAGATGACGGTAGAGAGCTCCGCATGCAGATCTGAGCTACCCGTCGGAGGCCGTTTGACTGTGGGAAGGGCTGCGTGCAGATGCAGCACTTGTCGTAGTTATATAAAAAAGAGAGAGCGAGAGAGAGCCAAATGTAGTAGGAAGAGAGAGGGGTAGAGAGAGAGGAGAGGCAGAGAGGGGGGTAGAGAGAGAGGGGGGGCAGAGAGGGGGGTAGAGAGAGAGGGGTAGAGAGAGAGGGAAGGGGTAAGGAGAGCAGAGCGAGAAATATTTTGTTAAATCTTTCATTTAAAAAGGGAGGGGGGGGGTTACATAAAGCAAAGTGTCGACTACACCGAGCATCTTCTTCTTGTTTCCTCTGATCGTAAACAAAGAGAGAGAGAGGGGGGGAGATGTAGAGAGATATTAGTGGAGATAGAGAGACGAAGGGAGGAGAGAGAGGGGGAGATGTAGAGAGAGATATTAGTGGAGAGAGAGACGAGAAGGGAGGAGAGGGGGAGATGTAGGGAGATATTAGTGGAGATAGAGAGACGAGAAGGGAGGAGAGAGAGGGGGAGATGTGGGGAGATATTAGTGGAGATAGAGAGACGAGAAGGGAGGAGAGAGAGAGGGGAAATGTAGAGAGATATTAGTGGAGAGAGAGAGACGAGATGAGAGATGTAGAGAGATATTAGTGGAGAGAGAGATGAGAAGGGAGGAGAGAGAGGGGGAGATGTAGAGAGAGATTAGTGGAGAGAGAGACGAGAAGGGAGGAGAGAGGGGAGATATTAGTGTAGATAGAGAGACGAGAAGGGAGGACAGAGAGGGGAGATGTAGAGAGATATTAGTGGAGAGAGAGACGAGAAGGGAGGAGAGAGAGGGGGAGATGGAGAGAGATGTTAGTGGAGAGAGAGACGAGAAGGGAGGAGAGGGGGAGATGTAGGGAGATATTAGTGTAGAGAGAGACGAGAAGGGAGGAGAGAGAGGGGGAGATGTAGAGATATATTAGTGGAGAGAGAGACGAGAAGGGAGGAGAGAGAGGGGGAGATGTAGAGAGATATTAGTGGAGATAGAGAGACGAGAAGGGAGGAGAGAGAGGGGGAGATGTAGAGAGATATTAGTGGAGATAGAGAGACGAGAAGGGAGGAGAGAGAGGGGGAGATGTAGGGAGATATTAGTGGAGAGAGAGACGAGAAGGGAGGAGAGAGAGGGGAGATGTAGGGAGATATTAGTGTAGAGAGACGAGAAGGGAGGAGAGGGAGAGAGGGGGAGATGTAGGGAGATATTAGTGGAGAGACGAGAAGGGAGGAGAGAGAGGGGGAGATGTAGGGAGATATTAGTGGAGATAGAGAGAGACGAGAAGGGAGGAGAGAGGGGAGATGGAGAGATATTAGTGGAGATAGAGAGACGAGAAGGGAGGAGAGAGAGGGGAGATGTAGGGAGATATTGGTTGAGAGAGACGAGGAGGAGAGAGAGGGGGAGATGTAGGGAGATATTAGTGGAGAGAGACGAGGAGGGAGGAGAGAGAGGGGGAGATGTAGGGAGATATTAGTGGAGAGAGAGACGAGAAGGGAGGAGAGAGAGGGGAGATGTAGGGAGATATTAGTGGAGAGAGAGACGAGAAGGGAGGAGAGAGAGGGGGAGATGTAGGGAGATATTAGTGGAGAGAGAGACGAGAAGGGAGGAGAGAGAGGGGAGATGTAGGGAGATATTAGTGGAGATAAAGAGACGAGAAGGGAGGAGAGAGAGGGGGAGATGTAGGGAGATATTAGTGGAGAGAGAGACGAGAAGGGAGGAGAGAGAGGGGAGATGTAGGGAGATATTAGTGTAGAGAGAGAGACGAGAAGGGAGGAGAGGGGGAGATGTAGGGAGATATTAGTGAGAGACGAGACGGGAGGAGATGTAGGGAGATATTAGTGGAGAGAGACGAGAAGGGAGGAGAGAGAGGGGGAGATGGAGAGAGATATTAGTCGAGATAGAGAGACGAGAAGGGAGGAGAGAGAGGGGGAGATATTAGTGGAGAGAGAGACGAGAAGAGAGGAGAGAGAGGGGGAGATGTAGAGAGAGATATTAGTGGAGAGAGAGACAAAAAGGGAGGAGAAAGAGGGGGAGATGGAGAGAGATATTAGTGGAGATAGAGACGAGAAGGGAGGAGATGTAGGGAGATATTAGTGGAGATAGAGAGACGAGAAGGGAGGAGAGAGAGGGGAGATGTAGGGAGAGATATTAGTGGAGAGAGAGACGAGAAGGGAGGAGAGAGAGGGGAGATGTAGGGAGATATTAGTGGAGAGAGACGAGAAGGGAGGAGAGAGAGGGGGAGATGTAGGGAGATATTAGTGGAGAGAGAGACGATAAGGGAGGAGAGAGAGGGGGAGATGTAGGGAGATATTAGTGGAGATAGAGAGAGACGAGAAGGGAGGAGAGAGAGAGGGGGAGATGGAGAGATATTAGTGGAGAGAGAGACGAGAAGGGAGGAGAGAGAGGGGGAGATGTAGGGAGATATTAGTGGAGAGAGAGACGAGAAAGGAGGAGAGAGAGGGGGAGATGTAGGGAGATATTAGTGGAGAGAGAGACGAGGAGGGAGGAGAGAGATGGGGAGATGTAGGGAGATATTAGTGGAGAGAGAGACGAGAAGGGAGGAGAGAGAGGGGGAGATGTAGGGAGATATTAGTGGAGAGAGACGAGGAGGGAGGAGAGAGAGGGGGAGATGTAGGGAGATATTAGTGGAGATAGAGAGAGACGAGAAGGGAGGAGAGCTGGGGGAGATGTAGGGAGATATTAGTGGAGAGAGAGACGAGAATGGAGGAGAGAGAGGGGGAGATGTAGGGAGATATTAGTGGAGATAAAGAGACGAGAAGGGAGGAGAGAGAGGGGGAGATGTAGGGAGATATTAGTGGAGAGAGAAACGAGAAGGGAGGAGAGAGAGGGGAGATGTAGGGAGATATTAGTGTAGAGAGACGAGAAGGGAGGAGAGAGAGGGGAGATGTAGGGAGATATTAGTGTAGAGAGAGAGACGAGAAGGGAGGAGATGTAGGGATATATTAGTGGAGAGAGACGAGAAGGGAGGAGAGAGAGGGGGAGATGCAGGGAGATATTAGTGTAGAGAGAGACGAGAAGGAAGGAGATGTAGAGAGAGATATTAGTGGAGAGAGAGACGAGAAGGGAGGAGAGAGAGGGGGAGATGTAGGGAGATATTAGTGGAGATAGAGAGACGAGAAGGGAGGAGAGAGAGGGGGAGATGTAGAGAGAGATATTAGTGGAGAGAGAGACGAGAAGGGAGGAGAGAGAGGGGGAGATGTAAAGAGATATTAGTGGAGAGAGACGAGAAGGGAGGAGAGAGAGGGGGAGATGTAGGGAGATATTAGTGGAGAGAGAGACGATAAGGGAGGAGAGAGAGGGGAGATGTAGGGAGATATTAGTGGAGATAAAGAGACGAGAAGGGAGGAGAGAGAGGGGGAGATGTAGGGAGATATTAGTGGAGAGAGAAACGAGAAGGGAGGAGAGAGAGGGGAGATGTAGGGAGATATTAGTGTAGAGAGACGAGAAGGGAGGAGAGAGAGGGGAGATGTAGGGAGATATTAGTGTAGAGAGAGAGACGAGAAGGGAGGAGATGTAGGGATATATTAGTGGAGAGAGACGAGAAGGGAGGAGAGAGAGGGGGAGATGCAGGGAGATATTAGTGTAGAGAGAGACGAGAAGGAAGGAGATGTAGAGAGAGATATTAGTGGAGAGAGAGACGAGAAGGGAGGAGAGAGAGGGGGAGATGTAGAGAGATATTAGTGGAGATAGAGAGACGAGAAGGGAGGAGAGAGAGGGGGAGATGTAGAGAGAGATATTAGTGGAGAGAGAGACGAGAAGGGAGGAGAGAGAGGGGGAGATGTAAAGAGATATTAGTGGAGAGAGACGAGAAGGGAGGAGAGAGAGGGGAGATGTAGAGAGATTTTAGTGGAGAGAGAGACGAGAAGAGAGGAGAGAGAGGGGGAGATGTAGGGAGATATTATGGAGAGAGATAGAGAGACGAGAAGGGAGGAGAGAGAGGGGGAGATGTAGGGAGATATTATGGAGAGAGATAGAGAGACGAGAAGGGAGGAGAGGGGGAGATTGAGATTTGTGTAGATGCTGAGTGGGTGGATGAGGATGTATTCGACGCGATGCGGAGATGTGGGGGTGTGGGGAGACAAAGGCGGCCGTGGGAGAAGCGCGGAATGCATCGTGGAGACTCAACGAGTCGCGGACCTCGCAGCCTCACTCCATCCAACATAATCGGCGTGCACCTAGCCTGGCACGGCTGTTGGCGCGCTGCGCTACGAACCCGGCCGAGACCCCAGTTCGATTCCCGCTCACGAACACCGCCACACCACCACCAACCACCACCACCAACCACCACCACCACCACCAACCACTCCGCCACCACCACCGTCACCACCACCGCCACCACCAACCACTCCAACAGCAGCAACCACCACCACCACCACCGTCACCACCACCGCCACCACCAACCACTCCGACAGCAGCAACCACAACGGGGCCTCCTCCTGCCCCTAGATCGACTCAGCCTCAAATGAATACCTGGCGCAGTCGCGCGTAGTGAACATCGCCACTGGGGGGAGACAAAGACGGCCGGGCGTGGTTGCGAGGCCCCCATCCCCTCGTGCATAACAACAGTGCCGGGTCTTCACCGGAGCTGCGGCTCGCGACTCACAGCACTTGCCCCTCCAGTTTCGTTCGAGGCTACCTGGGGGATCTTTGTCTCTGCTCGATACGCGGATGCGTGGGCCACACCTTGAGCACGTGGGGCTGTCACCTGTCCAGTCAGACCGGTCGGGGCTGTCCCGCCCTGAACGACGACAGCGGCCTCGCCACAGCGGGTGGCGGCGGCGGCCTGAAGTTCAGTCTGACGACACCCGGGACTCACACGGCCACAGCTCACGCAAGTCCAACACCAACTCACTCACTCACTCACCAACTCACTCACCAACTCACTCACCAACTGGCTCACCAACTGGCTCACTCACTCACTCACCAACTCACTCACTCACCAACTCACTCACTCACCAACTCACTCACCAACTCACTCACCAACTCACTCACTAACTCACTCACCAACTCACTCACCAACTCACTCACTAACTCACCAACTTACTCACTAACTCACCAACTCACTCACTAACTCACCAACTCACTAACTCGCTCACTCACCAACTCACTAACTCACTCACCAACTCACTAACTCACTCACCAACTCACTAACTCACTCACCAACTCACTCACTAACTCACCAACTCACTCACTAACTTACCAACTCACTAACTCGCTCACTCACTCACCAACTCACTCACTAACTCACCAAATCACTCACCAACTCACTCACCAACTCACTAACTCACTCACTAACTCACTCACCAACTCACTCACCAACTCATTCACCAACTCACTCACTAACTCACCAACTTACTCACCAACTCACTCACCAACTCACTCACTAACTCACCAACTTACTCACCAACTCACTCACCAACTCACTCACTAACTCACCAACTTACTCACCAACTCACTCACCAACTCACTCACTAACTCACCAACTCACTAACTCGCTCACTCACCAACTCACTAACTCACTCACCAACTAACTCACTCACCAACTAACTCACTCACCAACTCACTAACTCACTCACCAACTCACTCACTAACTCACCAACTCACTCACTAACTCACCAACTCACTAGCTTACTAACTCACCAACTCACTCACTCATCAACTCACTCATCAACTCACTCACCAACTCACTCACTCACTCACCAACTCACTCATCAACTCACCCACTCACCAACTCCCCAACTCACTAACCCACCAACGCACTAACCCACCAACTCACCCAGACTTGGCATCACAGTATGGGTATAAATGGTTCACCACGTGTAGAGTGTAGTGAGTAGGTAGGGAGCTATGCTGGTGGGTTGGTGGGCTGGTACATTGGGGGGGGGGGGGGGGTCGTGGGTAGGTTTGAATGATACTGAAAGTATTGTGGGGTTTCCTTTTTTTCACTGCAGAGACGAGGCGAGTCAATAAGAGGTGAGTCTGTGTGTGTGTAGTGAGTGTGTGTGTAGTGTGTGTGTAGTGAGTGTGTGAGTGGTGTGTGAGTAGTGTGTGTGTAGTGTGTGTGTGTGGTGTGTGTAGTTTGTGTAGTATGTGTGTGTGTAGTATATGTGTGTGTAGTATGTGTAGTGAGTGTGTGTAGTGAGTGTGTAGTATGTGTGTGTGTAGTGAGTGTGTAGTATGTGTGTGTGTAGTGAGTGTGTGTAGTATGTGTGTGTGTGTAGTATGTGTGGTGTGTGGTGTGTGTGTCGTGAGTGTAGTCTGTGTAAGTGTGTGTGTGTGTGTTTGGTGTGTGTGTGGTGTGTGTGTGTAGTATGTGTGTGTGTAGTATGTGTGTAGTGAGTGAGTGTGTGGTGTGGTGTGTGTGTAGTGAGTGTGGAGTGGTGGTGATGGTAGTGATGATGGGGATGGTGGTGATGGTGATGATGATGGTGGTGGTGATGATGGTGATGATGATGGTGGTGGTGGTGATGATGGTGATGATGATGGTGGTGGTCAAGGTGATGGTGATGATGATGGTGATGATGGTGATGATGGTGGTGGTCAAGGTGATGGTGGTGGTGATGGTAATGATGATGGGGATGGTGGTGATGGTGGTGGTCAAGATGATGATGGTGATGATGGTGGTGATGGTAGTGATAATGGGGATGGTGGTGATGGGTGGTGGTCAAGGTGATGATGATGGTGGTGATGATGATGGTGATGTTGTTTCAGACGAGGACGCGATGTCAGACGAGGAGGACCTGGAGGTGAGATAACCCATCACCATCACCACCATCACCACTACCATTACCATCGTCACCACCATCACTAACAGCATTACTACTACCACCATCATCACCACCACCATCACCACTACCATTACCATCGTCACCACCATCACTACCAGCATCACTACTATCATCACCACCACCATCACTACCACCATCACCACTATCACCATCACTACTACCATCACCACCATCACCATCACTACTACCATCACCACCACCATCACTACTACCATCACCACCATCACCACCACCACCATCACCACTGCCGTTACCATCGTCACCACCATCACTACCAGCATCACTACTACCACCATCACCATCACCACCATCATCACCACCACCGTCGTCACCATCGTCACCACCATCGTCACCACCACCGTCACCACCACCGTCACCACCATCACCACTACCACCATTACCATTACCACCACCATCATCATTAATGGTGATGTTGTTGATGTTGTTGATGGTGATGTTGTTGATGGTGATGTTGTTGATATTGTTGATGGTGATGATGTTGTTGATGGTGATGATGTTGATGGTGATGATATTGATGGTGATGATGTTGATGTTGTTGATGTTGTTGTTGATGGTGATGTTATTGATGGTGATGTTATTGATGGTAATGTTGTTGTTGATGGTGATGATGGTAATGATGGTAATGATGATGATGTTGTTTTTGTTGGTGATGATGATGTTGTTGTTGATGGTGATGATGATGTTGTTGATGGTGATTATGGTAATTATGTTGATGATGTTGTTGTTCATGGTGATGGTAATGATGTTGTTGTTGATGATGTTGGTGATGGTGATGATGTTGTTGTTGATGGTGATGTTGATGTTGGTGATGATGTTGATGTTGTTGTTGATGGTGATAATGGTAATGATGTTGTTGTTGATGGTGATGATGGTGATGTTGTTGTTGATGGTGATGATGGTAATGATGTTGATGTTGTTGATGTTGATGATGGTGATGTTGTTGATGTTGTTGTTCATGGTGATGATGGTAATGATGTTGTTGTTGATGTTGTTGATGGTGATGATGGTGATGTTGGTGTTATTGTTGATGTTGTTGTTGATGGTGATGATGGTAATGATGTTGATGTTGATGGTGATGATAGTGATGTTGTTGTTGATGGTGATGATGGTGATGTTGATGGTGATGATGGTAATGATGATGATGTTGTTGTTGTTGTTGGTGATGATGATGTTGTTGTTGATAAGTGATTATGGTAATGATGTTGTTGTTGATGTTGTTGTTGATGGTGATGGTAATGATGTTGTTGTTGATGTTGTTGATGATGTTGGTGATGGTGATGATGTTGTTGTTGATGGTGATGTTGTTGATGTTGGTGATGATTGTTGTTGATGTTGATGGTGATGTTGTTGTTGATGGTGATAATGGTAATGATGTTGATGTTGTTGTTGATGGTGATGATGGTGATGTTGTTGTTGATGGTGATGTTGTTATTGTTGATGTTGTTGATGGTGATGATGGTAATGATGTTGTTGATGGTGATGATGGTGATGTTGTTGTTGTTGATGGTGATGATGTTGTTGATGTTGATGATGTTGTTGATGTTGTTGATGGTGATGATGTTGTTGATGGTAGTGATGGTAATGATGGTAATGATGTTGTTGTTGATGTTGTTGGTGATGGTAATGATGGTAATGATGTTGGTGTTGATGGTGATGTTGTTGTTGTTGATGGTGATGTTGTTGATGTTATTGATGGTGATGATGGTAATGATGGTAATGATGTTGTTGTTGATGTTGTTGTTGATATTGTTGTTGATGTTGTTGATGTTGTTGTTGATGTTGTTGATGTTGTTGTTGTTTGTCGTTGCCTGTGAGCAGGGGGGCTACGCCGTGGTGCTGTGTGGACGTTGCGACCTCCCCCAGGGGCTGCCTCACGCCGAGCTCACGCTGAGCTCACGCACACACAGAGAGGTGCTGCCCCCCACCACCACTGCCCCCCACCACCACTGCCCCCCACACTGCCCCTCACCACCACTGCCCCCCACCACCACTGCCCCCCTCCACAGCCCCCCTCCACCACTGCCCCCCACCACCACTGCCCCCCACCACCACTGCCCCCCACCACCACTGCCCCCTCCACCACTGCCTCCCTCCACCACTGACCCCCACCACCACTGCCCCCCACCACCACTGCCCCCCACCACCACTGCCCCCTCCACCACTGCCTCCCTCCACCACTGACCCCCACCACCACTGCCCCCCCCACCACTGCCTCACCACTGCCCCCCACCACTGCCCCCACACTGCCCTCCACCACTGCCCCCCACTACCACTGCCCCCCACCACTGCCCCCACACTGCCCTCCACCACTGCCCCCCACTACCACTGCCTAACCACTGCCCCCCACCACTGCCCCCCACTACCACAGCAGCGCCTATGAAGGCCGGAACTGTGGCACACGATGGCGTTGTTGTTGATGTTCTTGTTGTTGCTATGGTTGTTGTTGATGTTGTTGTTGTTGCTATGGTTGTTGTTGATGTTGATGTTGTTGTTGATGTTGTTGTTATGGTTGTTGTTGCTATGGTTGTTGTTGCTATGGTTGTTGTTGATGTTGTTGATGTTGTTGTTGCTATGGTTGTTGTTGCTATGGTTGTTGTTTGTGTTGTTGTTGTTGCTATGGTTGTTGTTGCTATGGTTGTTGTTGCTATGGTTGTTGTTGATGTTGTTGTTGATGTTGTTGTTGCTTTTGTTGTTGTTGATGTTGTTGATGTTGTTGTTGCTATGGTTGTTGTTGCTATGGTTGTTGTTGTTGATGTTGTTGTTGCTTTTGTTGTTGTTGATGTTGTTGTTGATGTTGTTGTTGATGTTGCTATGGTTGTTGCTATGGTTGTTGTTGATGTTGTTGCTATGGTTGTTGTTGCTATGGTTGTTGTTGATGTTGTTGTTGATGTTGTTGTTGCTATGGTTGTTGTTGATGTTGATGTTGTTGTTGCTATGGTTGTTGTTGCTATGGTTGTTGTTGATGTTGTTGTTGCTATGGTTGTTGTTGATGTTGTTGCTATGGTTGTTGTTGATGTTGTTGTTGCTATGGTTGTTGTTGCTATGGTTGTTGTTGATGTTGTTGTTGATGTTGTTGTTGCTATGGTTGTTGTTGCTATGGTTGTTGATGTTGATGTTGCTATGGTTGTTGTTGCTATGGTTGTTGCTATGGTTGTTGTTGCTATGGTTGTTGTTGCTATGGTTGTTGTTGCTATGGTTGTTGTTGATGTTGTTGTTGCTATGGTTGTTGCTATGGTTGTTGTTGATGTTGTTGTTGATGTTGTTGTTGATGTTGTTGCTATGGTTGTTGTTGATGTTTGTTGCTATGGTTGTTGTTGATGTTATTTCTATAGTTGTTGTTGCTATGGTTGTTGTTGATGTTATCGTTGCTATGGTTATTGTTGCCATGGTTGTGGTCCAGGACGTGACGTGCATTGTGGTCAAGGCGCCATTTCTCGATGTTTACGAACAGATGACAAAAATCCCAGAGAGGTAACAACAACCACCACAACAATTACAACAACAACCACCACAACAATTACAACAACCACAACAATTACAACAACGACCACAACAATTACAACAACAACCACAACACAACCACCACAACAATTACAAACAACAACCACAACAATTACAACAACCACAACAATTACAATAACAACCACCACAACAATTACAACAACCACAGCAACCACCACAACAATTACAACAACAACCACAACAATTACAACAACAACCACAACAATTACAACAACAACCACAACACAACCACCACAACAATTACAAACAACAACAACCACAACAATTACAACAACAACCACAACAATTACAACAACAACCACCACAACAATTACAACAACCACAGCAACCACCACAACAATTACAACAACAACCACAACAATTACAACAACAACCACCACAACAATTACAACAACAACCACAACACAACCACCACAACAATTACAACAACCACAACAATTACAACAACCACCACAACAATTACAACAACAACCACAACACAACGACCACAACAATTACAAACAACAACAACCACAACAATTACACCAACAACCACCACAACAATTACAACAACAACCACCACAACAATTACAACAACCACAGCAACCACCACAACAATTACAACAACAACCACAACAATTACAACAACAACCACCACAACAATTACAACAACAACCACAACACAACCACCACAACAATTACAACAACCACAACAATTACAACAACAACCACCACAACAATTACAACAACAACCACAACACAACAACCACAACAATTACAAACAACAACAACCACAACAATTACACCAACAACCACCACAACAATTACAACAACAACCACCACCACAACAATTACAACAACCACAGCAACCACCACAACAATTACAACAACAACCACAACAATTACAACAACAACCACCACAACAATTACAACAACAACCACAACACAACCACCACAACAATTACAAATAACAATAACCACAACAATTACAACAACAACCACCACAACAATTACAACAACAACCACCACAACAATTACAACAACCACAGCAACCACCACAACAATTACAACAACAACCACAACACAACCATCACAACAATTACAAACAACAACAACAACAACCACAACAATTACAACAACAACCACAACAATTTCAACAACCACCACAACAATTACAACAACCACAGCAACCACCACAGCAATTACAACAACAACCACAACAATTACAACAACAACCACAACACAACAACCACAACAACAACCACAACAATTACAACAACAACCACAACAACAACCACCACAACAACCACAACAATTACAACAACAACCACAACAACAACCACCACAACAATTACAACAACAACCACAACACAACCACCACAACAATTACAACAACCACAACAATTACAACAACAACCACCACAACAATTACAACAACAACCACAACACAACAACCACAACAATTACAAACAACAACAACCACAACAATTACACCAACAACCACCACAACAATTACAACAACAACCACCACCACAACAATTACAACAACCACAGCAACCACCACAACAATTACAACAACAACCACAACAATTACAACAACAACCACCACAACAATTACAACAACAACCACAACACAACCACCACAACAATTACAAATAACAATAACCACAACAATTACAACAACAACCACCACAACAATTACAACAACAACCACCACAACAATTACAACAACCACAGCAACCACCACAACAATTACAACAACAACCACAACACAACCATCACAACAATTACAAACAACAACAACAACAACCACAACAATTACAACAACAACCACAACAATTTCAACAACCACCACAACAATTACAACAACCACAGCAACCACCACAGCAATTACAACAACAACCACAACAATTACAACAACAACCACAACACAACAACCACAACAACAACCACAACAATTACAACAACAACCACAACAACAACCACCACAACAACCACAACAATTACAACAACAACCACAACAACAACCACCACAACAATTACAACGACCACAACAACCACCACGACAACTGCAACAACAAGCACCAAAACAACCACCACAACAAAATCACATTATATTGTTCAGTGGTTGTTAAGTGGTTGTGTGGTTGTTGAGTGGCTTTTGAGTGGTTGTTGAGTGGTTGTTGAGTGGTTGTTGGGTGGTTGTTGGGTGGTTGTTGGGTGGTTGTTTTGTGGTTGTGTGGTTGTGTGGTTATTGAGTGGGTTTTGAGTGGGGTTTGAGTGGGTTTTGAGTGGTTGTTGAGTGGGTTTTGAGTGGTTGTCGTGTGGTTGTCGTGTGGTTATTGAGTGGTTGTTGAGTGGTTTTTGAGTGGCCGTTGTTGTGTGGTTGTCGTGTGGTTGTTGTGTGGTTTTGTGGTTATTGAGTAGTTGTTGAGTGGGTTTTGAGTAGTGGTTGTTATGTGGTTGTTGTGTGGTTGTGTGGTTGTTGAGTGGTTGTGTGGTTGTGTGGTTGTTGTGTGGTTGTTGCAGTGAGATATTTTCAAAAAAAGACCTGAAAATCGTAAATGGATCAGCAGCTTTGGGGTGAGGACATCAACATCAGAATCATCAGCACCACTCACGCCCCATCCACTCACCCACTCACTCACTCACCCACTCACTCACCCACTCACTCACCCACCCACTCACCACTCACCACTCACCCACTCACTCACTCACCCACTCACTCACTCACCCCCAATCCACTCACCCACCCACTCACTCACCACTCACTCACTCACCCACCCACTCACCACCCCACCCACTCACCACCCCACCCACTCACCACCCCACCCACTCACCCACCACCCCACCCACTCACCCACTCATCCACTCACCCACCCACTCACCCAACCACTCACCACCCCACCCACCCACTTACCCACCCACTCACTCACTCGCTCACCCACCCACTCACCCACCCGCTACCCACTCACTCACCCACTCACCTCCCCTCTCCCCACTCACCACCCACCCCCTCCCCTCGTGGTGTGCAGGAGGGGGCGCTACATTCGGGAATTCTCCTCCGAGCTGCTGGAGGAGGAGGAGGGAGGCAGCAGCGAGTGGTAAATAGCGACCGGCCTCACACACAAGCACAGGCCAAGGTCCCCCAGGTAGCCTCCAACAGGGCTGTAGGGGCAAGTGATGTGAGTCGCGAGCAGCAGCAGCAGCAGCACCCGATGAAGGCCGCACAGAGGGGGTGGGTGGCCTGCACCACACTCGCCCACCCGGCCGCCTTTGTCTCCCCTAGTGCTACAAAGACACACTCACATTCACTCACCCACTCACTCATTCACTCACTCACCCATTCACTCACCCATTCACTTTCACCCATTCACTCACCCATTCACTTTCACCCATTCACTCACTCTCACTCACCCATTCACTCTCACTCACTCATTCACCCATTCACTCACCCATTCACCCATTCACTCACCCATTCACCCACTCACCCATTCACTCACTTATTCACCCATTCACTCTCTCATTCACATGCACGCAGGCAAAGCTTCCCCAGGTAGCGTCTAACAGCCCGTCGGGGCAAGTGCAGGTGCTGCCTGCTGATGTTCGCTACTGTGGCCAGCACCACGCCCAGCCGTCTTTGTCTCTCTAGTGACGATGTTTACTGCACACCGCACCGGGTACTCGTTTTATGCTGAGGCGACCTAGGGGAGGCCCAGAACCGGTTCAGATAATCGTCACCAACGGTGTTGGTGTCCGTTAGCGTGCAGCTTAGCCCACACACACATATATACACACACATATATACACTGGCAACATGCTTTCCTACAAACTGTGTATGTATATGAGTCTGTGGGTCTCTGTGTGGTGAGTATGTGGGTCTCTGTGTGGTGAGTCTGTAGGTCTCTGTGTGGTGAGTCTGTGGGTCTCTGTGTGGTGAGTCTGTGGGTCTGTGTGGTGAGTCTGTGGGTCTCTGTCTGGTGAGTCTGTGGGTCTCTGTGTGATGAGTTTGTGGGTCTCTGTGATGAGTTTGTGGGTCTCTGTGTGATGAGTATTTGGGTCTCTGTGTGGTGAATCTGTGGGTCTCTGTGTGGTGAATCTGTGGGTCTCTGTGTGGTGAGTCTGTGGGTCTGTGTGTGATGAGTATTTGGGTCTCTGTGTGATGCGTATTTGGGTCTCTGTATGATGAGTCTGTGGGTCTATGTGTGGTGAGTCTGTGGGTCTCTGTGTGGTGAGTCTGTGGGTCTCTGTGTGGCGAGTCTGTGGGTCTCTGTGTGGTGAGTCTGTGGGTCTCTGTGATGAGTCTGTAGGTCTCTGTGTGGTGAGTCTGTGGGTCTCTGTGTGGTGAGTCTGTGGGTCTCTGTGTGGTGAGTCTGTGGGTCTCTGTATGGTGAGTCTGTGGGTCTCTGTGTGGTGAGTTTGTGCGTCTCTGTGTGGTGAGTCTGTGGGTCTCTGTGATGAGTTTGTGGGTCTCTGTGTGATGAGTATTTGGGTTTCTGTGTGGTGAGTCTGTGGGTCTCTGTGAACCTTAATGTATATCCATGGCTCTCTCTCTGTGAGAGCAGTGAGGAGTTTGAGGATACCTGCACTACCTCTTACCTCAAATGCTGCAAAACCAACCCCAACTTCAATCCAGAGGCTGGGATGCTTTCTGACAGGTAGTGTCAATTGAGCCACACACACTCACGCACCCGTGTCTAATGGGGGGGTGGGCACGGAACCTCTGGACAAGCAAAACTCTACAGGGAAGTTGAGTCCGTATGGGAGACGCACCCCAGAGAAAATCAGCCAGATTGACCAACGCGTTATTGAATGAGTTGTGTCCGTGTGTAACGGGGGGACCCACGGTGGTCCCATTTCAGCCAAACTCTGCGTGCGTATGGGTGGCTTGCCCCAGTGAAAATCAGCCACATCCGCTGACGGGTTGCTGAATGAGCCGTGTCTCGATGTGTGTGGCGGCACGGGGGGCACGTAACTTTGGATTCGATGGTTCAGTTTCAGCCAAACTCGTCAATATTGTTGATAATGTTGCTCATGCTGCTGCTGCTACTGATGATGCTGCTGATGATATTGCTGCTGCTGATGATGCTGCTGCTTATGATCTTGATTGTGATGTGTTGCAGAGATTATTCGAAGAGAGGAGCCATGAACGGGAAGATTGTGAACTTCATGATGCAATACAAGGAGAGACGTGAGTCTCATGCAGACCGGTGGTAGTTGTTGTTGATGTGGTTGTTGTCGTTGATGTGGTTGTTGTTAATGTGGTTGTTGTCGTTGATGTGGTTGTTGTTGATGTGGTTGTTGTCGTTGATGCGGTTGTTGTTGTGGTTGTTGTTGATGTGGTTGTTGTTGTTGATGTGATTGTTGTCGTTGATGTGGTTGTTGTCGTTGATGTGGTTGTTGTTGATGTGGTTGTTGTCGTTGATGTGGTTGTCGTTGATGTGGTTGTTGTCGTTGATGTGGTTGTCGTTGATGTGGTTGCTGTTGATGTGTTTGTTGTCGTTGATGTGGTTGTTGTCGTTGATGTGGTTGTTGTTGATGTGGTTGTTGTTGATGTGGTTGTTGTCGTTGATGTGGTTGTTGTCGTTGATGTGGTTGTTGTTGATGTGGTTGCTGTTGATGTGTTTGTTGTCGTTGATGTGGTTGTTGTCGTTGATGTGGTTGTTGTTGATGTGGTTGTTGTTGATGTGGTTGTTGTTGATGTGGTTGTTGTCGTTGATGTGGTTGTTGATGTGGTTGCTGTTGATGTGGTTGTTGTTGATGTGGTTGTCGTTGATGTGGTTGTTGTTGATGTGGTTGTCGTTGATGTGGTTGTTGTTGATGTGGTTGTTGTTGATGTGGTTGTTGTCGTTGATGTGGTTGCTGTTGATGTGGTTGTTGTCGTTGATGTGGTTGTTGTTGATGTGGTTGTTGTTGATGTGGTTGTTGTCGTTGATGTGGTTGTTGATGTGGTTGCTGTTGATGTGGTTGTTGTTGATGTGATTGTTGTCGTTGATGTGGTTGTTGTTGATGTGGTTGCTGTTGATGTGTTTGTTGTCGTTGATGTGGTTGTTGTCGTTGATGTGGTTGTTGTTGATGTGGTTGTTGTCGTTGATGTGGTTGTTGATGTGGTTGCTGTTGATGTGGTTGTTTTTGATGTGGTTGTCGTTGATGTGGTTGTTGTTGATGTGGTTGTCGTTGATGTGGTTGTTGTTGATGTGGTTGTCGTTGATGTGGTTGTTGTTGATGTGGTTGTTGTTGATGTGGTTGTTGTTGTTGATGTGGTTGCTGTTGATGTGGTTGCTGATGTGGTTGTTGTTGATGTGGTTGTTGTTGATGTGGTTGTTGTTGATGTGGTTGTTGTTGATGTGGTTGTTGTCGTTGATGTGGTTGTTGTCGTTGATGTGGTTGTTGTTGATGTGGTTGTTGTTGATGTGGTTGTTGTTGATGTGGTTGTTGTTGATGTGGTTGTTGTCGTTGATGTGGTTGTTGTTGTTGATGTGGTTGTTGATGTGGTTGTTGTCGTTGATGTGGTTGTTGTTGATGTGGTTGTCGTTGTTGATGTGGTTGTTGTTGATGTGGTTGTTGTCGTTGATGTTGTTGATGTGGTTGCTGTTGATGTGGTTGTTGTTGATGTGGTTGTTGTTGATGTGGTTGTTGTTGATGTGGTTGTTGTTGATGTGGTTGTTGTCGTTGATGTGGTTGTTGTCGTTGATGTGGTTGTTGTTGTTGATGTGGTTGCTACTATGGTTCCGCCAGAGTTCCAGTGGCTGGAGCACATGGAGGACCAGGTGAAGACTCACTTCCCTCTGCACGAGGTCAGTAGCTACAGCACAGACGTAGTTCCTATGTAGAATAGGAGTGTAGTGTAGTGTATACTCTATTGTAGTGTATACTGTATTGTAGTGTAGTGTTTAATAGTGTACTAAATCGTTGCTTAGTGTATAGTTCTATAGTGTAGTGTACAGTGTACTACACTATAGTAGTGTAGTGTGTGTAGTGTGTATAGTAGTGTAGTGTATAGTATTATAGTAGTGTATAGTAGTGTATAGTGTAGTGTATAGTAGTATAGTAGTGTATAGTAGTGTCGTGTATAGTAGTGTAGTGTATAGTAGTGTACTGTACAGTAGTGTATAGTAGTGTAGTGTATAGTAGTGTAGTATAGTGTATAGTAGTGTAGTATAGTGTATAGTAGTGTAGTATAGTCTATAGTAGTGTGGTATAGTGTATAGTAGTGTAGTGTACTGTATAGTAGTGTAGTGTATAGTAGTGTCGTGTATAGTAGTGTAGTGTACTGTATAGTAGTGTATAGTTGTGTAGTGTATAGTAGTGTAGTGTATAGTAGTGTAGTGTACTGTATAGTAGTGTATAGTAGTGTAGTTTATAGTAGTGTAGTGCATAGTAGTGTATAATAGGGTAGTGTATAGTAGTGTATAGCAGTGTACTGTATAGTAGTGTATAGTAGTGTAGTGTATAGTAGTGTACTGTATAGTAGTGTAGTATAGTGTATAGTAGTGTAGTGTATAGTAGTGTCGTGTATAGTAGTGTACTGTATAGCAGTATAGTAGTGTAGTGTATAGTAGTGTAGTGTATAGTAGTGTAGTGTATAGTAGTGTAGTGTATAGTAGTGTAGTGTATAGTAGCGTAGTGTGTATAGTAGCGTAGTGTGTATAGTAGCGTAGTGTGTATAGTAGCGTAGTGTGTATAGTAGCGTAGTGTATAGTAGTGTAGTGTATAGTAGCGTAGTGTGTATAGTAGCGTAGTGTGTATAGTAGTGTAGTGTATATTAGTGTACTGTATAGTAGTGTAGTGTATAGTGTAGTGTATAGTAGTGTAGTGTATAGTAGTGTAGTGTATAGTAGTGTAGTGTATAGTAGTGTACTGTATAGTAGTGTAAAGTAGTGTAGTGTATAGTAGTGTAGTGTATTGTAGTATAGTGTATAGTAGTGTATAGTAGTGTAGTGTATAGTAGTGTATAGTGTAGTGAAGTGTCAGGTCAGGCCTTGATCCTCTACCGTAACAACAGTGGATGGTACTACCTGCAACTGGTCAGTGCCGAGCGGCTAGCGGCGGTCAATTAGCCCGGCCACTTCATGGAATGCCAAGGGCTTAGGGCTTGGGTAGTGGGTCGGGATCGAACCCACGACCTCCCGTGTACTGGGCGAGGGAGGGAACATCTCCCAGCCACCCGAGTTAGCCACTCTTTACCCCGCCTGAGGGACGTGACCTGGCCATTGTGGGTCTCGGATCGATGTTAATGTCGTTGTGTACAGCTGTTTGCTGCTGTTGTTTGTTTTTGTTGACAGAAGCGTATCAGGGAGAATCTGATGAAGTCGTGGGGACACATCCGTGCTCTATTCAAACTGCAGCCCCTCAACCTCGTCAGGTGAACACATCAGCAGCAGCAGCATCAGTAGCAGCTGCATCTTTATCAACAGCAGCATCATCAGTAGCAACAAATTTAAATCATCATCATTATCATCGTGTGTGTATGTACACGTGTCTGTGTGTGTACACGTTTGCGCGTGTGTACGCAGGGCATACTATGGAGAGCAGGTGTGCATGTACTTTGCGTGGCTGGGCTGGTACACCCACATCCTGCTGGTGTCCACCTTGGTGGGATTCGGTGTGTTCCTCTATGGAGTGGCCACCTTCAACTCCAACGTGGTCAGGTATAGTCCACCACTAATGTAGTCCACCACATGTATAGTCCACCATATGTATAGTCCACCACATGTATATATGCATAGTCCACCACTCGTATAGTCCACCACTCGTATAGTCCACCACATGTTTAGATGTATAGTCCACCACTCATGTAGTCCACCACATGTATAGTTCACCACTCGTATAGTCCACCACTCGTATAGTCCACCACATGTATAGATGTATAGTCCACCACTCATATAGTCCACCACTCGTATAGTCTACCACTCATATAGTCCACCACATGTATAGTCCACCACATGTATAGTCCACCACTCGTATAGTCCACCACATGTATAGTCCACCACATGTATAGTCCGCCACTCGTATAGTCCACCACATGTATAGATGTATAGTCCACCACTCGTATAGCCCACCACTCGTATAGTCCACCATTCGTATAGTCCACCACATGTATAGTCCACCACTCATGTAGTCCGCCACTCGTATAGTCTACCACTCGTATAGTCCGCCACCGGTATAGTCCACGACCGGTATAGTCAACCAACGTTATAGTCCACCACTCGTATAGCCCCGGGCTACCTGGCAGAGCTTTGTGTGTGTGTGGGGAGTGGTGGTGCAGGGGTTATCACTGCACTGCGCTATGAACCCTGCTACCCGAGTTCGATTCCCGCCCACGGACACCAACACCGGTGTCGATTCTTTGAACTGGTCCTGGGCCTCCCCTAGGTCGACTCAGCCTCAAATGAGTACCTGGTGTGGTGTGTAGTAAACATCGCCACTGGGGAGACAAAGGCGGCTGGGCAGGCGGGCGTGGTACTGGCTACCCAGTCTACCCCTCGTGTGCAACAGTGCCGGCCTTCACAGAGGCTGCTGCTACTCGCTACGAACAACATGCACTTGCCCGTACACGGGGGACCTTTGCCTCTGTCTTCATAGCAAGGAGGTGTGCGAAGCGACGGACATTGTCATGTGTCCCCTGTGTGACGAGGGCTGCCACTTCTGGAACCTGTCGGACACGTGCACCTTCGCTAAGGTCAGGCTCGTCACGACCCTCTCGCCCGGGGTTCACAAATGGCCACTAGGTCTATGGGTGGCAGTGTTGAGTACTGTGCAGTGTTGAGTCTACGGTGCAGTGTTGAGTCTACGGTGCAGTGTTGAGTCTACGGTGCAGTGTTGAGTCTACAGTGCAGTGTTGAGTCTACAGTGCAGTGTTGAGTCTACGGTGCAGTGTTGACGCTACGGTGCAGTGTTGAGTCTACGGTGCAGTGTTGAGTCTACGGTGCAGTGTTGACGCTACGGTGCAGTGTTGAGTCTACGGTGCAGTGTTGAGTCAACGGTGCAGTGTTGAGTCTACGGTGCAGTGTTGAGTCTACGGTGCAGTGTTGAGTCTACGGTGCAGTGTTGAGTCTACGGTGCAGTGTTGAGTCTACGGTGCAGTGTTGAGTCTACGGTGCAGTGTTGAGTCTACGGTGCAGTGTTGAGTACTGTGCAGTGTTGAGTCTACGGTGCAGTCTTGAATCTACAGTGCAGTGTTGAGTCTACGGTGCAGTGTTGAGTCTACGGTGCAGTGTTGAGTCTACGGTGCAGTCTTGAATCTACAGTGCAGTGTTGAGTCTACGGTGCAGTGTTGAGTCTACGGTGCAGTCTTGAATCTACAGTGCAGTGTTGAGTCTACGGTGCAGTGTTGAGTCTACGGTGCAGTCTTGAATCTACAGTGCAGTGTTGAGTCTACGGTGCAGTGTTGAGTCTACGGTGCAGTCTTGAATCTACAGTGCAGTGTTGAGTCTACGGTGCAGTGTTGAGTCTACGGTGCAGTCTTGAATCTACAGTGCAGTGTTGAGTCTACGGTGCAGTGTTGAGTCTACGGTGCAGTGTTGAGTCTACGGTGCAGTCTTGAATCTACAGTGCAGTGTTGAGTCTAGTGCAGTGTTGAGTCTACGGTGCAGTGTTGACGCTACGGTGCAGTGTTGAGTCTACGGTGCAGTGTTGAGTCTACGGTGCAGTGTTGAGTCTATGGGCAATGTTGAGTCTATGGGCAATGTTGAGTCCATCGTGCAGTGTTGAGTCTACGGTGCAGTGTTGAGTCTACGGTGCAGTGTTGAGTCTATAGGTTGTGTTGAGTCCATCGTGCAGTGTTGAGTCAATGGGGAAATGTTTAGTCTCTGGGGAAATGTTGAGTCTATAGACTCATCTGGTCAATGTAAGGTATATCTATCTGTACTCCCTGCAGGTCGCCCATCTGTTCGACAACAGCGCCACTGTGTTCTTCGCTGTCTTCATGGCCGTTTGGGGTAAATGCATCGTCATCATCAGCAACATTGTCATCAGCAACATCATCAGCAACATCATCAGCAGTAGCATCATCAGCAGCAGTAGTAGCAGAAACAGTAGCGGAGACGCACAGACAGACACACAAGCAGAGAGACTCGACCAGGTGGGGTGTTGACTGTTGTGTTGGCCGAATCTGTGTTGGATTGCATTCTATTTCCAAGTTTGCTGTGTTGGTTTTCTCATTCATTTGTACCTGATGATGATGGTGGCTTGTGTTGCAATCGAAACGTCGTATTCTATTATTATTCGATTTACATTCTCTCTACGTGATTTTACCGAAATAACCAAAGAGTAGCGGTAGCATCATCAGCAGCATCGTCAGCAGCATCATCAGCAGCATCGTCAGCAGCAGTCGCCTTCACAGGAACTGCTACTAGCTAACAGCACTCGCCCGGACAGTCTGTTAAGGTGACACGGCAGGGGGGGAGGGCCTCGGGTTTTCCAGCCACACCGCCCCCCCCCCCCGCTCATCAAAGGTGCTGCTACTGCTGCTGCTCTCTATAACGGCAGCACTTGCCCATACAGCCGGCGTGGGCTACCTGGGGGAGCTCTGCAGTGGCGTCTCGTGACATTGCCACTGGGTGGGGCTGTTGTAAAGTGACCTCTGAAAAGATGGAGTTCTGATTAAGAAAATCCTCATCATGGCTTTGCCCCCCTTGAAAGTGATATCACTCTCTTATCCAGCAACTGTCTTATCCAGCAACTGCCTTATCTAGCAACTGTCTTATCTAGCAACTGTCTTATCTAGCAACTGTCTTATCTAGCAACTGTCTTATCCAGCAACTGTCTTATCTAGCAACTGCCTTATCTAGAAACTGTCTTATCTAGCAACTGTCTTATCTAGCAACTGTCTTATCTAGCACCTGTCTTATCTAGCGACTGTCTTATCTAGCGACTGTCTTATCTAGCAACTGTCTTATCTAGCAACTGTCTTATCTAGCAACTGTCTTATCTAGCAACTGTCTTATCTAGCAACTGTCTTATCTAGCAACTGCCTTATCTAGCAACTGTCTTATCTAGCAACTGTCTTATCTAGCAACTGTCTTATCTAGCAACTGCCTTATCTAGCAACTGTCTTATCTAGCAACTGTCTTATCTAGCAACTGTCTTATCTAGCAACTGCCTTATCTAGCAACTGTCTTATCTAGCAACTGTCTTATCTAGCAACTGTCTTATCTAGCAACTGTCTCATCTAGCACCTGTCTTATCTAGCAACTGTCTTATCTAGCAACTGTCTTATCTAGCAACTGTCTTATCTAGCAACTGCCTTATCTAGCAACTGTCTTATCTAGCAACTGTCTTATCTAGCAACTGTCTTATCTAGCACCTGTCTTATCTAGCGACTGTCTTATCTAGCGACTGTCTTATCTAGCAACTGTCTTATCTAGCAACTGTCTTATCTAGCAACTGTCTTATCTAGCAACTGTCTTATCTAGCAACTGTCTTATCTAGCAACTGTCTTATCTAGCAACTGCCTTATCTAGCAACTGTCTTATCTAGCAACTGTCTTATCTAGCAACTGTCTTATCTAGCAACTGCCTTATCTAGCAACTTGTCTTATCTAGCAACTGTCTTATCTAGCAACTGTCTTATCTAGCAACTGTCTTATCTAGCAACTGTCTTATCTAGCAACTGTCTTATCTAGCAACTGTCTCATCTAGCACCTGTCTCATCTAGCAACTGTCTTATCTAGCAACTGTCTTATCTAGCAACTGCCTTATCTAGCAACTGTCTTATCTAGCAACTGTCTTATCTAGCAACTGTCTTATCTAGCAACTGCCTTATCTAGCAACTGTCTTATCTAGCAGCTGTCTTATCTAACAACTGTCTTATCTAGCAACTGTCTTATCTAGCAACTGTCTTATCTAGCAACTGCCTTATCTAGCAACTGTCTCATCTAGCAACTGTCTTATGTAGCAAATGTCTCATCTAGCAACTGTCTCATCTAGCAACTGTCTCATCTAGCAACTGTCTTATCTAGCAACTGTCTTATCTAGCAACTGTCTCATCTAGCACCTGTCTCATCTAGCAACTGTCTTATCTAGCAACTGTCTTATCTAGCAACTGCCTTATCTAGCAACTGTCTTATCTAGCAACTGTCTTATCTAGCAACTGTCTTATCTAACAACTGCCTTATCTAGCAACTGTCTTATCTAGCAGCTGTCTTATCTAACAACTGTCTTATCTAGCAACTGTCTTATCTAGCAACTGTCTTATCTAGCAACTGCCTTATCTAGCAACTGTCTCATCTAGCAACTGTCTTATGTAGCAAATGTCTCATCTAGCAACTGTCTTATCTAGCAACTGTCTTATCTAGCAACTGTCTCATCTAGCAACTTTCTTATCTAGCAACTGTCTTATCTAGCAACTGTCTCATCTAGCAACTTCTTATCTAGCAACTGTCTTATCTAGCAACTGTCTTATCTAGCAACTGTTTTATCTAGCAACTCTCTTATCTAGCAACTGTCTTATCTAGCAACTGTCTTATCTAGCAACTGTCTCATCTAGCAACTGTCTCATCTAGCAACTGTCTTATCTAGCAACTGCCTTATCTAGCAACTGTCTTATCTAGCAACTGTCTTATCTAGCAACTGTCTTATCTAGCAACTGCCTTATCTAGCAACTGTCTTATCTAGCAACTGTCTTATCTAGCAACTGTCTTATCTAGCAACTGTCTCATCTAGCAACTGTCTTATCTAGCAACTGTCTTATCTAGCAACTGCCTTATCTAGCAACTGTCTTATCTAGCAACTGTCTTATCTAGCAACTGCCTTATCTAGCAACTGTCTTATCTAGCAGCTGTCTTATCTAACAACTGTCTTATCTAGCAACTGTCTTATCTAGCAACTGTCTCATCTAGCAACTGTCTTATGTAGCAAATGTCTCATCTAGCAACTGTCTTATCTAGCAACTGTCTTATCTAGCAACTGTCTTATCTAGCAACTGTCTCATCTAGCAACTTTCTTATCTAGCAACTGTCTTATCTAGCAACTGTCTTATCTAGCAACTGCCTTATCTAGCAACTGTCTTATCTAGCAACTGTCTTATCTAGCAACGGCCTTATCTAGCAACGGCTTATCTAGCAACTGTCTTATCTAGCAACGGCCTTATCTAGCAACTGTCTTATCTAGCAACTGTCTTATCTAGCAACTGTCTTATCTAGCAACTGCCTTATCTAGCAACTGTATTATCTAGCAACTGTCTTATCTAGCAACTGTCTTATCTAGCAACTGTCTTATCTAGCGACTGTCTTATCTAGCAACTGTCTTATCTAGCAACTGTCTCATCTAGCAACTGTCTTATCTAGCAACTGCCTTATCTAGCAACTGTCTCATCTAGCAACTGCCTTATCTAGCAACTGTCTTATCTAGCAACTGTCTTATCTAGCAACTGTCTTATCTAGCAACTGCCTTATCTAGCAACTGTCTTATCTAGCAACTGTCTTATCTAGCAGCTGTCTTATCTAGCAACTGTCTTATCTAGCAACTGTCTTATCTAGCAACTGTCTTATCTAGCAATTGTCTTATCTAGCAACTGTCTTATCTAGTAATTGTCTTATCTAGCAACTGTCTTATCTAGCAACTGTCTTATCTAGCAACTGTCTTATCTAGCAACTGTCTTATCTAGCAACTGTCTCATCTAGCAACTGTCTCATCTAGCAACTGCCTTATCTAGCAACTGTCTTATCTAGCAACTGTCTTATCTAGCAACTGTCTTATCTAGCAACTGCCTTATCTAGCAACTGTCTTATCTAGCAGCTGTCTTATCTAACAACTGTCTTATCTAGCAACTGTCTTATCTAGCAACTGTCTTATCTAGCAACTGCCTTATCTAGCAACTGTCTTATCTAGCAGCTGTCTTATCTAACAACTGTCTTATCTAGCAACTGTCTTATCTAGCAACTGTCTCATCTAGCAACTGTCTTATCTAGCAACTGTCTTATCTAGCAACTGTCTTATCTAGCAACTGTCTTATCTAGCAACTGTCTCATCTAGCAACTGTCTCATCTAGCAACTGTCTCATCTAGCAACTGTCTTATCTAGCAACTGTCTTATCTAGCAACTGTCTCATCTAGCAACTGTCTCATCTAGCAACTGTCTCATCTAGCAACTGTCTTATCTAGCAACTGTCTTATCTAGCAACTGCCTTATCTAGCAACTGTCTTATCTAGCAACTGTCTTATCTAGCAACTGCCTTATCTAGCAACTGTCTTATCTAGCAGCTGTCTTATCTAACAACTGTCTTATCTAGCAACTGTCTTATCTAGCAACTGTCTCATCTAGCAACTGTCTTATGTAGCAAATGTCTCATCTAGCAACTGTCTTATCTAGCAACTGTCTTATCTAGCAACTGTCTTATCTAGCAACTGTCTCATCTAGCAACTGTCTTATCTAGCAACTGTCTTATCTAGCAACTGCCTTATCTAGCAACTGTCTTATCTAGCAACTGTCTTATCTAGCAACGGCCTTATCTAGCAACGGCTTATCTAGCAACTGTCTTATCTAGCAACGGCCTTATCTAGCAACTGTCTTATCTAGCAACTGTCTTATCTAGCAACTGTCTTATCTAGCAACTGCCTTATCTAGCAACTGTATTATCTAGCAACTGTCTTATCTAGCAACTGTCTTATCTAGCAACTGTCTTATCTAGCGACTATCTTACTTAGCGACTGTCTTATCTAGCAGCTGTCTTATCTAGCAACTGTCTTATCTAGCAGCTGTCTTATCTAGCAACTGTCTTATCTAGCAACTGTCTTATCTAGCAACTGTCTTATCTAGTAATTGTCTTATCTAGCAACTGTCTTATCTAGTAATTGTCTTATCTAGCAGCTGTCTTATCTAGCAACTGTCTTATCTAGCAACTGTCTTATCTAGCAGCTGTCTTATCTAGCAACTGTCTTATCTAGCAACTGTCTTATCTAGCAACTGTCTTATCTAGCAATTGTCTTATCTAGCAACTGTCTTATCTAGTAATTGTCTTATCTAGCAACTGTCTTATCTAGCAACTGTCTTATCTAGCAACTGTCTTATCTAGCAACTGTCTCATCTAGCAACTGTCTCATCTAGCGACTGTCTTATCTAGCGACTGTCTTATCTAGCGACTGTCTTATCTAGCAACTGTCTTATCTAGCAACGGTCTTATCTAGCAACTGTAGGCATTTATAAACAATATTAAACAAAAACAACAGAGCAATCAAATGACCGTCAATTCGACACCACACTGCCAAAAGCCTAGAGCAGGGGTCGGGAACCTATGGCTCGCGAGCCAGATGTGGCTCTTTTGATGATTGCATATGGCTCGCAGATAAAACAAAATATTCTCACTTGTTTTAATCCATCCATCGATTTTTGACTGCGCATGTCCTGTTCAGGGCTGCAGGAGCAATTGTCCATTATTTTAATTGGATGATACTGGCCTACGTTTGCCGTTGCTGGGTAAAACAGTTAAACGCCCCCTTTTGAATCAGTCTGAGACTGCGTCTGCTCGGTCATTAGCTCAAAGCTAACCCTTCGACGAAGAAGATGGCGAAAAGAAAAAAAGACGACGAGTATCGTACATTTCAGGACGAATGGACCGAAGAATTCGCCTTTGTGGAGAGAGCGGGTTCTGCGGTGTGTCTAATTTGCAATGACAAAATTACACCGTTGAAACGGTCGAATGTAAAGCGGCACTTCGACACGCGCCACGCTACCTTTGCATCAAAATACCCTGCGGGAGACAGCAGAAAGAAAGCGTGCCAAGAGCTTCTGAGCAGGGTGCAAGCTAGCCAGCAGCAACTCCGCGTATGGACCCGGCAAGGTGACTATAATTCGGCTAGCTTTGCTGGTTCTTTAGCAATAGTGAGGAACGGAAAACCATTCACAGATGGCGAGTATGCTAAAACGTTCATGCTGGATGTAGCCAATGAACTTTTTGATGATCTTCCGAACAAAGACAAGATAATCAAACGGATACAAGACATGCCTCTGTCGGCAAGAACTGTTCATGATCGTACCATCGTGATGGCAAACAAAGTGGAGGAAACGCAAGTGAAGGACATAAATGCAGCGCCGTTCTTTTCTCTGGCTTTGGATGAGTCAACAGACGTGAGCCATTTGTCGCAGTTCAGCGTGATTGCAAGATATGCTGTTGGTGACACACTGCGCGAAGAAAGTCTTGCTGTTCTGCCATTAAAAGGGTCCACAAGAGGTGAGGATTTATTCAAGTCTTTCATGGAGTTTGCTCAAGAAAAAAGTCTACCTTTGGATAAACTTCTCTCAGTGTGTACTGATGGTGCTCCGTGTATGGTGGGGAAAAACAAAGGATTTGTGGCGCTTCTCCGTGAACATGAAAATAGACCCATCCTAAGTTTCCATTGCATTATACACCAGGAGGCACTTTGTGCTCATATGTGTGACAGGCAGTTTGGCGAAGTGATGTCGCTGGTCATTCGTGTGATCAACTTTATTGTTGCCCGAGCCTTAAATGATCGCCAGTTTAAAACACTGCTGGATGAAGTTGTAAATAACTATCCTGGTCTGCTTTTGCACAGCAATGTGCGTTGGTTGTCAAGAGGGAAGGTGCTTAGCCGTTTTGCGGCTTGCCTGAACGAAATCCGGACTTTCCTTGAAATGAAAGGCGTCGGGCATCCTGAGCTAGCCGACACCGAGTGGCTCCTCAAGTTTTACTATCTCGTAGATCTGACTGAACATCTGAACCAGCTCAACGTGAAAATGCAAGGCATTGGAAATACAGTGTTATCCCTTCAACAAGCTGTATTTGCTTTTGAAAACAAGCTGGAGCTTTTCATCACGGATCTTGAAACAGGTCGTTTACTACATTTTGAAAAACTGAGCCAATTTAAAGATGCATGCACAGCAAGTGAGCCCATTCAAAACCTTGATCTCCACCAGCTAGCTGGCTGCACATCCAGTCTCCTACAGTCCTTCAAAGCACGCTTTGGAGAATTTCGTGAGCACACTCGTCTTTTTAAGTTCATCACCCATCCAAACGAGTGTTCACTGAACACAGCCGACCTGAATTACATCCCTGGTGTCTCCGTCAGAGATTTTGAAGCAGAAGTGGCTGACCTGAAGGCCTCAGACATGTGGGTGAATAAGTTCAAGTCACTGAATGAAGATTTGGAAAGAATCACACGACAGAAAGCGGAGTTGGCGAGCAAGCACATGTGGACAGAAATGAAAAAACTCCAACCCGAAGACCAGCTGATTCTCAAAACTTGGAACGCGCTTCCTGTCACATACCACACACTGCAGCGTGTGAGTATTGCTGTATTGACCATGTTTGGATCTACGTATGCATGTGAGCAGTCATTCTCACATCTTAAAAACATCAAGTCCAACCTACGATCACGTTTAACGGATGAAAGCCTCAACGCTTGCATGAAGCTTAACCTCACCAAGTACCAACCCGACTACAAAGACATCAGCAAATCCATGCAGCACCAGAAGTCGCATTAATGGTGAGTGTTATAACAACATTATTTAAAAGAATAAATTCAGAGGCTTATTATACTGACATTTAGTTGAATTCACTTTTAAAATATATTATATGGCTCTCACTGAAATAAATTTCCAAATTTTTTGCTTTCATGGCTCTCTTAGTCAAAAAGGTTCCCGACCCCTGGCCTAGAGCATGTGGGCCGTGAGCTGCTCTATTTGCAGTGCACCCTCACGTTGTGATGTCTTCTCATTACAGCCATGGGCACCTTTCTCACCGCCCTGAACGGGTCTCAAACGGCGTGGCTAGAATGCGAAGCTGCTCGCAATGAGTGAAGGGAAATCTCTCACTCGGAGGACGCCTTCATAGCCGCCCCGAGAGCTTCCCGAGGCACAAATCAGACCGTGGTGCTGCAGCGGTTTCTAATGTGATCAACTTAAAAATGTTACCTTTATCAGGCAATTCACGTTGAAAGAATCATTATATTTTAACATTTTTTAACACAACAAAGCAATTTATTGAATTTTTATTTATTATAAATAATTTCTCACCTCCAGCTGCTTGGTGGGGTGGCGCCCCACCGCCCCCTAGTGGACGAGCGGCTTCTGGTGCTGTGTGTGTGTCTGTGTGTGTGTCTGTGTGTGTGTCTGCGTGTGTGTCTGTCTGTGTGTGTCTGTGTGTGTCTGTGTGTGTGTGTGCCTGTGTGTGTGTCTGTGTGTGTGTGTGTCTGTGTGTGTGTGTGTGTCTGTGTGTGTGCCTGTGTGTGTCTGTGTGTGTGTCTGTGTGTGTGTGTGTCTGTGTGTGTCTGTGTGTGTGTCTGTGTGTGCGGTTTATAGCCACAGTGTTTCTGGAGATGTGGAAGCGCTACCGGGCAGTGCTCACCTGCAGATGGGACCTCCTGGACATGGGGGAGGAGGAGGTGAGGTTGTGGAGGTGATGGTAATGATGGAGGTGATAGAGATGGTGGATATGGTGGAATTGGTGGAGGAGGTGGTTGAGGGTTGCTCATTTTTAATATGGTAGAGTGAGGGGTTCTTATGCATTTTCTCTCCCATGCAATTCCCTCAATATTTTTAAAGGATACCAATGCGGATTTTTAAAACGTGCTTTACAACGACAGAAGGACAATAGCCCGATCTAGAATACAATGAATATTCACGAGATTTGGAATTGATAAACTATGTCTTGGTTCGTTATGCACTACGGACACACCATACACAAGGATGCGAACCAACTGTGGTGGATAATAACGTAGTGAAGATTATATCAACACTCGGGTAAGACTTACTGTCTTCAACAAGGCCAATTCATTAAAACTCGCATCACCTTTACATAGCCCCGTAGATCATCAGCTTAACACAGTGACCCCGTGTGTCAACAAACATAGAGCACCGTGGCGACAAAACAGGTACAGAACACCGTGACGATAGAGCGGTTACAGAACACAGCTCGGAACAAGGCAATTACAGAACATCGTGCTGACTGTTCGCGCCAACCCTTACGAACGCTCTGCTCCTGGGTGACAAAGCAGCGCAGCAGAAGCCATGGGTATGTAAAGCCACTCGTGAGGTCACGTGCAGCCTCAGGGACCCCCCGGACCTAGCGATAGTGCCGCGCTCTCAGGATTCAGCGCAGCCTCGGCACCGGTTTGCCCAGCGCAGCAGTAGGCACTATGGCAACTCAGCCGCTCTCTGTCTATCCTCCCTAGCAACCAATCAGCTGCCAGTTGCTAGGTGGCCCTCTCCTCCATCTCTTGCCCCTCGGCCCCTGTCAATCAACTTGGGCCCGTGTGGCGCCCTCCAATCGGAGCCCAGTAGCATCGTTACATAAGGGGGACCGTACAGACTTGAACAACTACAGGGGCATCTTCCTCTGTGCCAGGAAAGGTTCTGGCAAGGATTATTCAACATCGCTTTGCCAGGCACGCTGAGGAGAGGTTTGCGGAGCCCCAATGTGGTTGCAAGCCAGGGCGGTCCTGCACAGATGCCATAGCTTCTCTCCGTCGACTACAGCAGAGGTGTAGGGAATTCCAACAGGACCTACATCTCTGCTTTATTGACCTGGTCAAGGCCTATGATACCATCAATAGACCTCTGGGTTGATTTTTGTGTTTTCAGAGTCCCTGACTCTGCTCACAATCATGAAGGACCTTCATGATGGTGGAAGGGCCCAGGTAAACCTACGTGGTCAGGAGTCACAACCATTCCCTGTTCACCTTGGGGTGCAACAGGGATGTCTTCTGGAACCTACATTACTGCCATGCTTTCCATGACAGTACCGGAGGAATTTCCATCTGGCATAGATACAATGGGAGGATGATCGATGCTCTGGTGCAGTCGAGGGATGGCTCCCTATGCTGATAATCTGGTGATTGCTGCTCACTCAGAAGAGGAGTTGGAGGCCCTGCTGTTGAACCTGGAGGGTGCTACTAAGAGGTGGGGCCTTACTATTAGTCCCTCGAAGCACCTGCCTGGGTATTTGGTATCATCAAATAATCCATGCCCTCAACTTCCCATTGGTGGGGTAGTTGTGAAGAGAGTGGATAGGTTTCCATACCTGGGCAGTGTGCTTATGACCAGCTCCTGGTTTGACAGCAGAAGTCTCACTCCGAATCAGTCGAGCGGCAATATATTTTCATTAACTATGGAATGCTGTGTGGATGCTACCTGGTCTGTCGCTCCACACAAAACTTTCGGTCTTCTCGGCCACGGTCATTCCCTCCCTTCTCTATGCTTGCAAAACGTGGACACCCCTAATGGAACATCTTTGCCGGTTAGAAACATTCAGGCTGGCCTGCCTACGATCCATCCTGGGTTTAACCAGGCTGGATTATGTGAGGAGCTCACAAATCTTTGACAGATTTGAGCAGTCCCATCGGTGAGCTCCTCCGGCGGGCAAGGCTGCATTGGCTGGGTTATGTAGCCTACATCCCAACTAACCGCATGCCCAAACAGATTTTGTTTTCAGATAGAAGGGGCTAAACGGGCATGACATGGGCTAGAGAAGAGATGGAATGATGTGGCATTAGAGGATATGCAGCTTTAGTGGACTTTCCAATAACTGGTATCAGCGGTGTCAAGATCAGCCTCTGCACCTAGCCTGGCACAAGCGTCGTGGTGACGTCACCGTTACTTGGTGGCGAATGTTGGTTGTTGGTGATGGTGGTGACTGGTGGTTACTAGAGGTGGTGGTTGCTGTGGTGATGATGGAGATGGTGGTGGTTGAGGTGGTAGTGGTTTAGTTGGTGGTGGGGTGGTGGGAGTGGTGGTGGTAGAGTTTGGTGGTGATCGGTGGTGGAGGTTGAGTTTGAGGTGGTGGTGGTGTTAGTTGTTGTGTAGGTGGTGATGGTGGTGGAGGTGGTGATGTTGATGGTGATGTTGGACGGTGGTGATGATGCTGGAGGTGGTGGAGGTGGCATTTGGTAAGTAAGGATGTAGTGGTTCTGCTGATGATTGTTGTTGCTGCCGCCGCCGCCGCTGCTGTTGGATGCCAGGACGAGTTGGTGCTGCGTACGGTGACGCGCCGCTACGTGCCGGGCCGGCCACGCTCGCCCCGCCACAGTGGCAGCGCCTTCCAACATCACCATCCTTCGTCGGCCTCGCCGTCGCCCTCGGGAATCACGTGCCACAAGGTGCTCTCGCTGGTCATCATCTCCATCGTCTGCTTCCTCATGGTCGGTGCACGCATGCGCACACGAGTACACATGCACGTGTACACACACGTACACACGTGTACACACACGTACACACACGTACACACACGTAGACACACGTACACACACTCGTACACACACTCGTACACACACGCGTACAGACACGCACACACGAGTACACATGCACGTGTACACACACGTACACGCGCACACATGCGCGTACACACACGCGTACACACACGAGTACACACGTGTGCACACGAACACACACACACGTACACACACGTACGCATGCATGTGTACACGCACACGCGTACACACACGCGTACACACACGCGTACACGCACGTACGCACGTGTGGTGGTGGTTGTGTACATCTGTGTGGTGGTTGTGGTGTAGATCTGTGGTGGTCAAGGTGGTTGTGATCTATATCTACGTGGTGTTGGTGTGGATCTGTGTGGTTGTGGTGGTGATTGTGGTGTAGATCTGCGTGGTGTGGGTGGTGGTGTAGATCTGTGTGGTGGTGGTGTAGATCTGTGTGGTGGTGTAGATCTGTGTGGTGGTGGTGGTGGTGTAGATCTGTGTGGTGGTGGTGGTGTAGATCTGTGTGGTTGTGGTGGTGGTGGTGGTGGTTGTGGTGTAGATCTGCGTGGTGTGGGTGGTGGTGTATATCTGTGTGGTGGTGGTGTAGATCTGTGTGGGTGGTGGTGTAGATCTGTGTGGTGGTGGTGTAGATCTGTGTGGTGGTGGTGTAGATCTGTGTGGTGGTGGTGGTGTAGATCTGTGTAGTGGTGGTGGTGGTGTAGATCTGTGTGGTTGTGATGGTGGTGTAGATCTGTGTGGTGGTGGTGGTGTAGATCTGTGTGGTGGTGGTGGTGTAGATCTGTGTGGTGGTGGTGTAGATCTGTGTGGTGGTGGTGGTGGTGTAGATCTGTGTGGTGCTGTAGATCTGTGTGGTGGTGGTGGTGTAGATCTGTGTGGTGGTGGTGGTGGTGGTGTAGATCTGTGTGGTTGTGGTGGTGTAGATCTGCGTGGTGTGGGTGGTGGTGTAGATTTGTGTGGTGGTGGTGGTGTAGATCTGCGTGGTGGTATAGATCTGTGTGGTGGTGGTGGTGTAGATCTGTGTGGTTGTGGTGGTGGTGTAGATTTGTGTGGTGGTGTAGATCTGTGTGGTGGTGGTGGTGTAGATCTGTGTGGTTGTGGTGGTGGTGTAGATCTGTGTGGTGGTGGTGGTGGTGGTGGTGTATATCTGTGTGGTGGTGGTGGTGGTGTAGATCTGTGTGGTGGTGGTGGTGTAGATCTGTGTGGTGGTGGTGGTGTAGATCTGTGTTGTGGTGGTGTAGATCTGTGTGGTGGTATAGATCTGTGTGGTAGTGGTGGTGTAGATCTGTGTGGTTGTGGTGGTGGTGTAGATTTGTGTGGTGGTGTAGATCTGTGTGGTGGTGGTGTAGATCTGTGTGGTGGTGGTGGTGGTGGTGGTGTAGATCTGTGTGGTGGTGGTGTAGATCTGTGTGGTGGTGGTGTAGATCTGTGTGGTGGTGTAGATCTGTGTGGTTGTGGTGGTGGTGTAGATTTGTGTGGTGGTGTAGATCTGTGTGGTTGTGGTGGTGGTGTAGATTTGTGTGGTGGTGTAGATCTGTGTGGTGGTGGTGGTGTAGATCTGTGTGGTTGTGGTGGTGGTGTAGATCTGTGTGGTGGTGTAGATCTGTGTGGTTGTGGTGGTGTAGATATGTGTGGTGGTGGTGGTGTAGATCTGTGTGGTGGTGTAGATCTGTGTTGTGGTGTAGATCTGTGTGGTGGTGGTGGTGTAGATCTGTGTGGTGGTGTAGATCTGTGTGTTGGTGGTGTTGTAGATATGTGTGGTTGTGGTGGTGGTGTAGATCTGTGTTGTGGTGTAGATCTGTGTTGTGGTGGTGGTGTAGATCTGTGTGGTTGTGTAGATCTGTGTGGTGGTGGTGTAGATCTGTGTGGTTGTGGTGGTGGTGTAGATCTGTGTGGTGGTGGTGGTGTAGATCTGTGTGGTGGTGGTGCTGTAGATCTGCGTAGAGATCATTGCTGCGTACGCTATCGTGGCGTATCGCGTCCTCATGAGGGACGTGCTGTCACGGAGAGTGGAGCCCGGATTCTTCCGCAACAACGCCGGCCTCGTGGTGGTGGGGAGCGGAGCCATTCTCCACTTCCTGCTCATCCAGTGCATGAACAAGGTGATGGTGGTCGCGCTGATGATGGTGGTGATGGTGGTGATGGTGGTGGTGATGGTGATGTTGGTGTTGCTGGTGCTGGTGGTGGTGGTGATGGTGGTGGTGATGGTGGTGGTGATGGTGATGGTCGCGCTGATGATGGTGGTGATGGTGGTGGTAGCAGTGATGGTGATAGGAGTGGTGATGGTGGTGGTAGCAGTGATGGTGATAGGAGTGGTCATGGTGATGGTGCTGGTGGTGGTGGTGATGGTGGTGGTGATGGTGATGGTTGCGCTGATGATGATGGTGATTGTGGTGATGGTGATGGTGGTGGTGATGGTGGTGGTGGTGGTGGTAGTGGTGGTGGTGGTGATGGTGATAGGGGTGGTAGCGGCGATGGTGGTGGCAGTGATGGTGGTGATGGTGACGGGGGTGGTGAGGGTGTTGGTGATGGTGATAGGGGTTATGGGAGTGATGGTGATGACGGGAGTGATGGTGGTGATGGTGGTGATGGTGGTGATGTTGGCAGTGGTGGTAATGTTGTTGGTGATGTTGTTGATGTTGTTGTTGCAGGTGTGCGGCATTGTGGCCTCAAAGTTGGCAAACATCGGTGAGATTCCTGATCCAGACATCACCTCCACCATCATAATCAACAGCTGCCATTCGCCACGAAGTGGCGGTGACATCACCACGATGCTTTTGCCAGGCTATGTGCACGTTGAGGCCATGTGAAGTGTCGAACACCCGCTGGCAGGAGGTCACGGGACAGACTCAGGTGCCATGGGTTGACTGAGATGACTGGCTAATGCTCCACCTGTGGTCCCTTCTGTGCCAACCTGCTGTGCTTTAGCCGCTCGGCGCTCCTCTGTCCTTCGTTGTTGTTGGAGGGCGACTGCCTCCAACTGCCCAGTAGCGTCCTTCACGAGCCTCCTCCACAGAGGCCGATCTTGACACTGCTGGTACCAGTCATCGGCAATTCCACTCAGCTCCACGTCCTCCTGTACCACATCACTCCATCTCTTCTCTAGCCCATGCGGCGCCCTTTTAGCCCCCTCTATCCGGTTGAACAAAAGCTGTTTAGGCATGCGGTGAATGGGCATGTGGGCTACATGACCCAGCCAACGCAGCCTTGCCTGCTGGCGGAGCTCACTGATGGGACTTGGTCCAGATCTTTCAAGGATTTGTGAGCTCCTCACACAATCCAGCCTGGTTAAACCCAGGATGGATTGTAGGCAGGCCAGCCTAAATGTTTCTAACTGGCGAAGATGTTCCATTAGCGGTGTCCACGTTTTGCAAGCATAGAGAAGGGAGGGAATGACTCTGGCCAAGAAGACCCGAAGCTTCGTGTGGAGCGAGGAGCGACAGACCAGTTAGCTTCCAGTACAGCCATAGAAGCTTCACAAACTAAATAGTAAAAAAAGATGTAAAATAATGTGGGAGCCAGAGGACATTCCTGTCGCACGCCAAGGTGAACAGGGGAATGGCTCCAACTGCTGGCCACGTAGTTTTACCCGGGCCTGCCCACCACCATGAAGGCCTTTCATGATTTTGAGTAGAGAGTCAGTGACTCTAAAAGCATGATGAACAACCTAGAGCCCAGGCCGATGGAATCATAGGCCTTGCCCAGGTCAATAAAGCAGAGATGTAGGTCCTGTGGGAATTCCCTACACAAATGGCATCCTTCCTCAGTATTTCGCTTTGAAGATCATCTTTGCCCGGTGCATTTCCTGGTCTCAGACTCTGGATCACCTTTTTTACTTCCTCAACCGTTGGCACTTCAGCCAACCACTCGCAGGGGATGACTACTTCTTCCAATATTTGAGGCACCGCAGCCTCAGCAGTGTCATCCCCACTTTGCCCCATGATGTTTTCCAGTTTGAGCGATTTCCCCACTCCCAAGACGGCTCTCCGAACCTCTGAGCAAAAGCTGCAGGGTCTCTGGCTGACAGAGGAGGCGTTCTGTCAGCCAGGGTCTCTGGCTGACAGGAGAGGGGAGGGGGGTGCGATGCCAACCCCAGGTACAAGCAACGATGAAATTATCGCTTCCAACTTTCATCAGCTAGATGAGACCAGGCCACTGTGGGTTTGAATTGAGTCCTAGATGTACACCCACCACCGGAGTAGTAGAATGGCAGTCACATCAAAATCACCACCACCATGTTTATGTGTCTTTGCTGGCCACCCACCCCCTCGTGTGCCATGCCGGCCTTCATAGGGGCTACTACTGACTCACAGCACTTGCCCCAACAGTCTGTTACAGGCTATCCGGGGTCTTTGTATGTTAGTATGTGTGTGCTCGCTAACAACACTTGCCTCTACATCCTATTGAAAGCTACCTGGGGGACCCCTTTGCCTATGGTGTTGCGATAGGGAGCGTCTCGCGAGAGAAGAGGGAGCGACGATTCTGCATCTTCATCTTTATCTTCCAGTTCATCAACCACTTCAGCTCCATCTTCTACGTGGCGTTCTTCCTGGGCAGGTGCAGAGAGACACGGCCATCGTGAACGCACACACAGAGACACGGCCATCGTGAACGCACACACAGAGACACGGCCATCGTGAACGCACACACAGAGACACGGCCATCGTGAACGCACACACAGGGACACGGCCATCGTGAACGCACACACAGAGACACGGCCATCGTGAACGCACACACAGAGACACGGCCATCGTGAACGCACACACAGAGACACGGCCATCGTGAACGCACACACAGAGACACGGCCATCGTGAACGCACACACAGAGACACGGCCATCGTGAACCGACACAGAGACACGGCCATTGTGAACCCACATAGAGACACGGCCATCGTGAACGCACACACAGAGACACGACCATCGTGAATGCACACACAGAGACACGGCCATCGTGAACGCACACACAGAGACACGGCCATCGTGAACGCACACACAGAGACACGGCCATCGTGAACCGACACAGAGACACGGCCATTGTGAACCCACATAGAGACACGGCCATCGTGAACGCACACACAGAGACACGACCATCGTGAATGCACACACAGAGACACGGCCATCGTGAACGCACACACAGAGACACGGCCATTGTGAACGCACACACAGAGACACGGCCATCGTGAATGCACACAGAGAGACACGGCCATCGTGAACCCACACAGAGACACGGCCATCGTGAACGCACACACAGAGACACGGCCATCGTGAATGCACACAGAGAGACACGGCCATCGTAAACCCACACAGAGACACGGCCATCGTGAACGCACACACAGAGACACGGCCATCGTGAACGCACACACAGAGACACGGCCATCGTGAACGCACACACAGAGACACGGCCATCGTGAACGCACACACAGAGACACGGCCATCGTGAACGCACACACAGAGACACGGCCATCGTGAACGCACACACAGAGACACGGCCATCGTGAACCCACACAGAGACACGGCCATCGTGAACCCACATAGAGACACGGCCATCGTGAACGCACACACAGAGACACGGCCATCGTGAACGCACACACAGAGACACGGCCATCGTGAACACAGAGACACGGCCATCGTGAACACAGAGACACGGCCATCGTGAACGCACACACAGAGACACGGCCATCGTGAACGCACACACAGAGACACGGCCATCGTGAACCCACACAGAGACACGGCCATCGTGAACGCACACACAGAGACACGGCCATCGTGAACGCACACACAGAGACACGGCCATCGTGAACACAGAGACACGGCCATCGTGAACCCACACAGAGACACGGCCATCGTGAACCCACATAGAGACACGGCCATCGTGAACGCACACACAGAGACACGGCCATCGTGAACGCACACACAGAGACACGGCCATCGTGAACGCACACACAGAGACACGGCCATCGTGAAGCTGCTGCTGATGCTGCTGTGCTGGAGTTGATTCTGCGTCTCTGTTCCGTGCAGGTTCATAGGGAGACCTGGTAACTACGCTCGCTGGTTTCAGTTGTACCGCCTTGAAGAGGTGAGAGTGTGTACACACATCACTAAAGACAAAGCTCCCCCGTGTAGCCCAAACATACTGTAGGGGCAAGTGCTGTTAGCCGTGGTGGCTAGGAGATGTTGACTACCTCGCCTGGGATGCAGGAGGTCGTGGATTCGATCCCGAACCTGACTGTGCCTGCTGCTGTCTATTTGGAGTCTCTGCGACTCTCTTCCCTGTCATGGTCGCGTGGATTTATCTCCAGCTCCTCCGCTTTTTCTCTCCACATTTAGAATCAACGTCACGTTTAGAGTATTTGGATGCTGATGTAAATGTCCAGATGATGATATCAGACACTTGGTAGAGCTGTTATTTGTGATAGCAAGGTCGCTTGTCTGAATAAGGAACACAGAGTTCAGCCTTACCTGGTAAAAAACAACAAAATAGTTTAGTTATCATATGGGTTTCGATGAGTGGGTCTCTATGGATCTCTGTTGGTCTATGGGTCTATTAGTCTCTATGCATGTCTGTGGGGTCCCTATGGATCGATATGAGTCTCTGGATCTCTGTTCTTTGAGTCTCTGTGGGTCTCTGGATCGAAATGGGTCTATATCATTATGGGTCTCTGTGAGTCTTTGTGGGTCTATGGGTCTCTGATTCTGTAGAAATCTGCATTTAGAGTATTCGGCTGCTGCTGTAGTGTAGCGGTGAGCGCTACGCTGCGCTACGAACCCGGCGGCACGAGTTCGATTCCCGCTCACGGCCAACATCAGTGGCAAACATTAAAACCCGTCCTGGGCCTGCCCTAGGTCGACTCAGCCTCAAATGAGCACCTCGTGTGGTGTATAAACATCCCCACTAGGGAGGCAAAAGCGGTCGGGCGTTATGCTGGCTACCCACCCCCTCGTGTACTGTTCCGGCCTGCATAGGTGCTGCTCGCTAATACCACTTGCCCCAACAGTCTGTTAAAGGCTATACGGGGGAGCTTTGTCTGGTGCATCTATGTGTGTGCGTGTGTATTTGCGTGTGTGCGTGTGTATCTGTGTGTGTGTATCTGTGTGTGTGCGTGTGTATCTGTGTGTGTGTGTGCGTGTGTATCTGTGCGAGCGTATCTGTGTGTATCTGTGCGTGCGTATCTGTGTGTGTGCGTGCGTATCTGTGTGTGTGCGTGTGTATCTGCGTGTGTATGTGCCTGGGTATTTTGTGCCATCAGACACTGCACCCCCACAACTCCCAATTTGTGATGGGGCAGTTGTGGAGAGAGTTGAAAATTTTCCATACCTGGGCAGCAGGCTCATGACCTGCTCCGGTTTGACAGCAGAGGTATCGCTGAAAATCAGTCGAGCGGAATTATCTTTTCATCAGCTGAGTAATGCTGTGTGGAAGCTACCTAGTCTGTCGCTCTGCACCAAGATTCGGGTCTTCTCCGAGCTTGTGAAACGTGGACCCCAGTTAGAAACATTCAGGCTGGCCTGCCTCTAATCCATCTTGGGTTTAACAAGTCTGGATTGTGTGAGGAGCTCACAAATCCTTGAAAAATCTGTACACATTTTCATCCGTGAGCTCCTCCAGCAGGCAAGGTTGCATTGGCTGGGTCATGTAACCCACATGCCCAGCCATCACATGCCCCAGCAGATTCTGTTTGGCCACATAGAGGGGGGCTGAACATGCACAACACGGGCTGGAGAAGAGATGGACTGATGTGGTAATGGAGGATGTGGAGCTGAGTGGGCTTGCCAAAGACTGGTACCAGCAGTGTCATGATCGGCCTCTGTGGAGGAGGCTCGTGAAGCAATAACTTAGGGCAGAGGAGCGACGCTCACAACAACGAGCAGTGCGCCGGGCGGCTAAATTACAGCTAGTTGGCACAGTAGGGGGCACAGGTGGTGCATCAGCCACTCATTTCAGTCAGCCGACCCATGGCACCTGCTGGGTCTGCCCGGTGACCTCCTCCTGTCAGCGAGCCTTCGACACTTCACGTGGCCTCAAAGTGCACCTGGCCTGGCACAGGTGCCGCGGTGATGTCACCATCACTTGGTGGCGAATGGCGGTTGTATTGGTGTGTCTGTGTGTGTCTGTGTGTGTCTGTGTGTGTGTGTCTGTGTGTGTCTGTGTGTGTGTCTGTGTGTATCTGTGTGTGTCAGTGGGGAGCGGTAGTGTAGCAGTTAGCGCGCTGCGCTACGAGCCTGGTGACCCGGGTTCAATTCCCGCTAATGGCCAACATCAGTGACGGTTATCTGAACCGGTCCTGGGCCTCCCCTAGGTCGACTCAGCCTCAAATGAGTACCTGGTGCGGTGTGTAAACATCGCCACTAGGGAGACAAAGGCGACCGGGCGTGGTGCTGGCCACCCACCCCTCGTGTGCCGTGCCGGCCTTTCTAGGTGCTCGCTAACAGCACTTGCCCCTACAGTCTGCTTAGGCTATATGGGGGATTTTTTGTCTTTGTGTGTGTCTGTGTGTATTTGTGTGTGTCTGTGTGTATCTGTGTGTGTCTGTGTTTGTCTGTGTGTCTGTGTTTGTCTGTGTGTCTGTGTGTTTGTCTGTGTGTCTGTGTGTGTCTGTGTGTGTGTGTCTGTGTGTCTGTGTGTGTCTGTGTGTATCTGTGTGTATCTGTGTGTGTCTGTGTGTGTCTGTGTGTATCTGTTTGTGTCTGCGTGTGTCTGTGTGTGTCTGCGTGTATCTGCGTGTGTCTGTGTGTCTGTGTGTGTGTACGCAGTGCCACCCCAGTGGATGCCTCATCGACCTGTGTGTCTGTGTGTATCTGCGTGTGTCTGTGTGTATCTGTGTCTGTTTGTGTGTGTGTCTGTGTGTGTCTGTGTGTGTGTATCTGTGTGTCTGTGTGTGTGTATCTGTGTGTGTCTGTGTGTGTCTGTGTGTATCTGTGTGTGTCTGTGTGTGTGTCTGTCTGTGTGTGTGTCTGTTTGTGTGTGTGTCTGTTGTGTGTGTGTCTGTGTGTGTGTGTCTCTGTGTGTCTGTGTGTGTGTGTGTCTGTGTGTGTGTCTGTGTGTGTCTGTGTGTATCTGTGTGTGTGTACGCAGTGCCATCCCAGTGGATGCCTCATCGACCTGTGTGTCCAGATGGCCATCGTCCTCTTCCTGAAGCAGCTCTTCAACAACGCCTTGGAGTTCGGCCGCCCGTTAGCATCACAACCACCACAACAACCACCACAACAACCACCAAAACAACCACCACAACAACCACCACAACAATCACCACAACCATCATCATCATCACTAAAATCACAACGACCACTACCACCACTACCACAACAACTATAACCACCATAACAACAACAACCACCATCATCTATAATGTTAACAACCATGATGACAACAACCACCACCAGCATCATAACCATCACGGCTACAACCACGATACTGATGCTACTGATGATGATGCTGATGATGATACTGATGCTGCTGTTGAATGCTGCTGCTGATGATGATGCTGATGATGATGCTGATGATGGTGCTGATGATGATGCTACTGATGATGATGCTGATGCTGCTGCTGATGATGCTACTGATGATGATGCTGATGATGTTGATGATGTTGATGCTACTGATGATGCTGCTGTTGATGATGATGATGCTGTTGATGATGCTGATGATGCTGTTGATGATGCCGCTGCTGCTGCTGATGATGATGCTATTGATGATGCTATTGATGATGCTGTTGATGATGATGATGCTATTGATGATGCCACTGCTGCTGCTGATGATGATGCTGCTGATGATGCTACTGATGATGCTGATGATGTTGTCCCAGCTTCTGCTGCCGCAAGCTGAGTGGTTCGAAGGGGGGGGCCCAGGGGGAGGGGGCGCCCCCCGTGGAGTGCTGGGAAGAAGACCTCCGCCTGGAGGAGCCTCCTGAACACTTCCTCGCTTACGAGTACCTCGAGATGGGTAAGTACCATCAGTAGTACCAGCAGTAGTACCATCAGTAGTACCTGCAGTAGTACCATCAGTAGTACCATCAGTAGTACCATCAGTAGTACCAGCGGTAGTACCATCAGTAGTACCAGCAGTAGTACCATCAGCAATGCCAGGGGTAGAACCATCAGTAGTACCTGCAGTAGTACCAGCAGTAGTACCAGCGGTAGTACCTGCAATAGTACCAGAGGTAGTACCATCAGATGTACCAGCGGTAGTACCATCAGTAGTACCAGCAGGAGTACCAGCGGTAGTACCATTAACTTCAGCACAAGCAACATCAGCGCTATCATCATCATCAGCTGCTGCTGCTGTTGATGATGATGCTACTGGCGATGCTGATGATGCTGATGATGATGCTACTGGCCATGCTGATGATGATGCTACTGGCCATGCTGATGATGATGCTACTGGCCATGCTGATGATGATGATGCCTACTGGCCATGCTGATGATGATGATGCTACTGGCCATGCTGATGATGATGATGCTACTGGCCATGCTGATGCTGATGATGATGCTACTGGCGATGCTGATGATGATGATGCTACTGGCCATGCTGATGATGATGCTACTGGCCATGCTGATGATGATGCTACTGGCCATGCTGATGATGATGCTACTGGCCATGCTGATGATGATGATGCTACTGGCCATGCTGATGATGATGATGCTACTGGCCATGCTGATGATGATGATGCTACTGGCCATGCTGATGCTGATGATGATGCTACTGGCGATGCTGATGATGATGATGCTACTGGCCATGCTGATGATGATGCTACTGGCCATGCTGATGATGATGCTACTGGCCATGCTGATGATGATGCTACTGGCCATGCTGATGATGATGATGCTACTGGCCATGCTGATGATGATGATGCTACTGGCCATGCTGATGATGATGATGCTACTGGCCATGCTGATGATGATGATGATGCTACTGGCCATGCTGATGATGATGCTACTGGCCATGCTGATGATGATGATGCTACTGGCCATGCTGCTGATGATGATGATGCTACTGGCCATGCTGATGATGATGATGCTACTGGCCATGCTGATGATGATGATGCTGCTGGCCATGCTGATGATGATGCTACTGGCCATGCTGATGATGATGATGCTACTGGCCATGCTGATGATGATGATGATGCTGATGATGCCCCTGGCAGTGCTGCAGTTTGGCTTCGTGACGATCTTCGTTGCGGCGTTCCCGCTGGCCCCGCTGCTGGCGCTCACCAACAACCTGCTCGAGATTCGCATCGACGCGTGGAAGTTGTGCGCATCCTGGCGGAGACCCGTGGCCAGGAGAGCACGGGACATCGGTGACTCGCTCGGAGACTCGGGGACTCACACGGGGACACACAGAGGGACACACAGAGGGACACACAGAGGGAGACACAGAGGGAGACACAGGGACACAGAGGGACACAGAGGGACACAGAGGGAGACACAGAGGGAGACACAGAGGGAGACACAGAGGGAGACACAGAGGGAGACACAGGGACACAGAGGGACACAGAGGGAGACACAGAGGGAGACACACAGGGAGACACAGAGGGACACACAGGGAGACACACAGGGAGACACAGAGGGAGACACAGAGGGAGACACAGAGGGAGACACAGAGGGAGACACAGGGACACAGAGGGACACAGGGAGACACACAGGGAGACACAGAGGGACACAGAGGGACACAGAGGGAGACACAGGGACACAGAGGGACACAGAGGGACACAGAGGGAGACACAGAGGGAGACACAGAGGGGGACACAGAGGGAGACACAGAGGGAGACACAGAGGGAGACACAGAGGGAGACACAGAGGGAGACACAGGGAGACAGAGGGAGACACGGTGGGAGACACAGAGGGAGACACAGGGAGACAGAGGGAGACACGGTGGGAGACACAGAGGGACACAGAGGGAGACACAGAGGGACACAGAGGGAGACAGAGAGAGACACACAGAGGGAGGCACAGAGGGAGGCACAGAGGGAGGCACAGAGGGAGGCACAGAGGGAGACACAGAGGGAGACACAGAGGGAGACACAGAGGGAGACACAGAGGGAGACACAGAGGGAGACACAGAGGGAGACACAGAGGGAGACACAGAGGGAGACACAGAAGGAGACACGTGCGCGCTTATATTACGGGTTTGTGAGTGGTGAAGGCTACCTGGGTTAGCGAGTGGGTGGATAAGTGGACGGATGAGTGAGTGTGTGTGTCTTTGTGATACTAGGGAGAGACAAAGGCGGCCGGGTGGGCAACCGTGGGGTGGTGCTAGCCCACACTACCCCCACCCCCTCGTGTGCCAGGCCTTCACAGGTGCTGCTGCTACTTGCTACTAACAGCACTTGCCCCTACAGCCCTGTTATAAGCTACCTGGGCTATGTTTGTCTGAGTGTGTTTGTGGCAGGAATCTGGTTCGGGATTCTGGAGTTCATCGGCGTGGTGGCGGTGATCACCAACGCGCTCGTCATCGCCGTCACCTCCGACTTCATCCCACGCCTCGTTTACATCCACGCATACGGACCCTGTGCTGGGCAGGGAGAATACAGGACCAAGAGGTCACTCACTCACACTCTCACTCACTCACTCATACTCTCACTCACTTTCTATCTCACTCACTCACACTCACTCACACTCACTCACACTCTCTCACACTCTCTCTCACTCTCTCACACTCACTCACTTTCTATCTCACTCACTCTCACTCACTCACACTCACTCACACCCTCTCTCACTCTCTCACACTCACTCACACTCTCTCTCACTCACTCACTCTCACTCACTCACACTCACTCTCTCTCTCACTCACTCACACTCTCTCTCTCCACTCATTCACTCTCTCACTCACTCACTCACTCTCTCACACTCTCACTCACTTACACTCACTCACACTCACTCACTCTCTCTCACTTACTCACTCTCTCTCTCACTCACTCTCTCACTCACTCCCTCACTCACTCACACTCTCTCACTCACTCACTCACACTCACTCACACTCTCACTCACCCTCTCACTCACTCAAACTCTCTCACTCACTCCCTCACTCACTCACACTCTCTCACTCACTCACACTCACTCACACTCTCACTCACCCTCTCACTCACTCAAACTCTCTCACTCACTCCCTCACTCACTCACACTCTCACTCACTCAAACTCTCACTCACTTTCTCTCTCACTTACTCACACTCACTCACACTCACTCACACTCACTCACTCTCTCACTCACTCACACTCACTCACTCACACTCACTCACACTCTCACTCACTTTCTATCGCACTCACTCACACTCACTCACTCTCTCACTCACACTCTCACTCACACTCACTCACATACACAAAAAACAAAGATGCCCCTTATAGCCTTAACAGAGACTGTAGGGGCAAGTTCTGTTAGTGAGCACCTATAAAGGCCGGCACGGCACACGAGGGGTGGGTGGCCAACACCACGCCCGGCCGTCTTTGTCTCTCTAGTGGCGATGTTTACACATCGCACCAGGTACTCATTTGAGGCTGAGTCGACCTAGGGGAGGCCCAGGACTGGTTCAGATAATCGTCAACTGGTGTTGGCCGTGAGTGGGAATCGATCCCGGGTCGCCAGGTTCGTAGCGCAGCGTAGCGCTAACCGCTACGCAGCCGCTCCCCTACTCGCACACACACCTACACACTCACTCACAGTCACACCTACACACTCGCTCACATACACACACACCTTGACACTCACTTATCATCGTCGTCGGCTGGTTCTTTGCTTGCGAACATCAGGGAGGAATGAGGTCCATGTAATTGGCAGGCGCGATGGTGGCTGTACAGTCTGATCTTTGACTTGCAGATTCTGTGGCAGGTGGTGCATTTGAACTCCTGACCAGTCGGAGCCCGATTGGCGGATGAGTCCCTGGTGGCAGTCTTTCTGCGCTTTGGGCATCCTGCTGTCCTCCGTGCGCGAGACGTTGCCAGCCCAGCGGAGCTGACGAAGCAGCAGAACGGATTCAATGCTGGGTGTCTGAGCTCTCTCCAGGACTCTGTTGTTCGTGACATTGTCCTGCCATCCCATGTTCATGATAGAACACGGGCAGCGCTGGTGAAGCGCTCCAGCAGCCTAAGCTCTTTCTTGTACAGGACCCATGATTTTGAGCCATATAAAGGGTGGCTACTCCAGCTGCCGTGTATCTTTGTGGTGAGGCGAAGTGAGTGGCTCTGCCAGATGTGCTTGTGGAGCCTGCCTAAGGAGCAGTTTGCCTCGGCAAGTCCATTGTCTCCATGTCCTTGGCGATGGATTAGTCGTTGGATATTATCACACTGCCCAGGCATGTGAAACTATTCCACTGCATGGAGATGGGTGTAGTCGATGTTGAACTCCACGAGGTGGGGGCTGGTATAACACCTCTCTTTTCTTGAGGCTGATTGTCAGACCAAAAGCATTAGCTGCCTCAGAGAAACAGTTCACGATGAGCTGTAGGGCCTTCTCCATGTGTGCAAGAAGTGTGCAGTCATCTGCAAAGAGCAGTTCCAGAACATGTTGCTCTGTGGCTTTTGTCTTGGCAAACAGATTCTGAAGAGTGAAAAAGACTGCCATCTGTCCAGAACCAGATGCTCACTCAGAGGAGGAGTTGGAGGCGCTGCTGCTGAACCTGCAGCGTGCCACTCTAGGTCCACCACCAAAAACTGATCACCTGCCTGGGTATTTTGTACCATTAGATACTCCACCCCCACAATGCCCGATTGGTGATGGGGCAGTTGTGGAGAGAGTGGAGCGTTTTCCGTATCTGGGCAGTGTGCTCATGACTGGCTCAGGTTTGACAGCAGAGGTCTCACCCCAATTCAGTCGAGCGGCATTATCTTTTCATTGGTTGCGTAACGCTTTGTGGAAGCTAACTGGTCTGTTGCTCCACACGACGCTTCGGGTCTTCTCGGCCATGGTCATGCCATCCTATCTCTACGTTTCCAAAACGTGGACCCCCCCCTAATGGAACATCTTCACTGGTTAGAAACATTTTGGATGGCCTGCCTACGACCCATCCTGGGTTTTAACCAATATGGATTGTGTGAGGAGCTCACAAATCTTTGAAAGATCTGGACAAAGTCCCCATTGGTGAGCTCCTCCGGCAAGCAAAGCTGCGTTGGCTGGGTCATGTAGCCCGCATGCCCAATCACCGCATGCCCAAACAGCTTTTATTCGGCCGGATAGAGGGGGCTAAATGGGCACGGTACGGGCTAGAGAAGAGATGGAGTGATGTGCTACAAGAGAATGTGGAGCTGAGTGGACATGCCGATGACTGATTCCAGCGGTATCAAGATTGGCCTCTGTGGAGGAGGCTCGTGAAGGACGCTACTGGACAGTTAAAGACATTCGCCAGTAACGGAGGGCAGAGGAGCGACGCTCACAACGAGCGGAGCACCGAGCGACTAAAACACAGCAAGTTGGTACAGTAGGGGGCACAGGTGTGCATTGGCCACTCATCTCAGTCAGTTGACGCATGGCACCTGTGTCTGCCCCGTGACCTCCTGCCAGTGGGCGTTCGACACTTCACGTGGCATCACCGCCACTTAGTGGCAAATGGCGGTTGTTGTGTGTGTGTACTGTGAGTACTGTGTGTACTGTAGATACCTGCAGGGCTATGGGAACAGCAGTCTCTCCCTGTTCCACTGTGTATTGTGAGTTGTGTACTGTGTGTGTACTGTTCTGCTGTGTGTACTGTCGGTACCTGCATGGCTTTGTGCACAGTGTGTACAGTGTGTGTGTACAGTGTGTGCGTGCTGTAGGTGTCTACAGGGCTATGTGAACCGCAGTCTCCGTGTTCCACGTTGTACTGTGTGTATACTGTGTGTGTACAGTGTGTGTATACTGTGTGTACGGGGTGTGTGTACGGTGTGTGTATACTGTGTGTGTACGGTGTGTGTGATCTGTTATTGGTGTGTGTGTACTGTGTGTACGGTATGTGTACTGTGTGCTGTAGGTGTCTACAGGGCTATGGGAACATCAGTCTCTCCGTGTTCTACTGTGTACTGTATTTGTGTACTGTGTGTACTGTGTATGTGTAGTGGGTTTCAACTGAGTCGCACACTTAGACTCGGAGGCAGCGCATTTATTACTTCAACACAACGGGGTAACTTTCCCCTTAACACGACAACAACCCAGGGTGGTGACCACCCTGGCTAACTACACAGGTTGCAAGGTAACTGTCAACTTCCAACAGCACACTGCCCGGGCCCACGCGCTGGAGGACTTGAAGATCGGAGATCGTAGACGAAGGGTTTCTTCCCCGGGACGGAGAGCCCAGCTGCCTCTCGGGACTCGGCTTTTAATTTTCTCCGGCGTGGTCGACTCCACCCTGGCATAGCCCCTTTCCAGAACCTTCACGAAGAACCTCGGTTCCATCACGTGACCCTCACAGCCCCCTCTCGGGGGCCCCTCTGTCGTTCTAACCGGTCACGTGTCCTCCCGGGTCAACAGGCGTTATGGCTGACCTTCCTCAGGTCGACACACATGCCCTTAGGGCCGGTACTGCACCTACAGCGTGGTGACATCCTTCACTACACACACACCTCTACCTACTGTCGACATCAGTGATGTCACTACACACACCGTGCCCTCTAGGGCCGGTACTGCACCTACAGCGTGGTGACATCCAGTGATGTCACTACACACACACCGTGCCCTCTAGGGCCGGTACTGAACACCTACAGCATGGTGACATCCAGTGATGTCACTACGCACACCGTGCCGTCTAGGGCCGGTACTGCACCTACAGCATGGTGACATCCAGTGATGTCACTACACACACACCGTGCCCTCTAGGGCCGGTACTGCACCTACAGCATGGTGACATCCAGTGATGTCACTACACACACACCGTGCCCTCTAGGGCCGGTACTGCACCTACAGCGTGGTGACATCCATTGATGTCACTACACACACACCGTGCCCTCTAGGGATGGTACTGCACCTACAGCATGGTGACATCCAGTGATGTCACTACACACACACCGTGCCCTCTAGGGATGGTACTGCACCTACAGCGTGGTGACATCCAGTGATGTCACTACACACACACCGTGCCCTCTAGGGCCGGTACTGCACCTACAGTATGGTGACATCCAGTGATGTCACTACACACACACCGTGCCCTCTAGGGATGGTACTGCACCTACAGCGTGGTGACATCCAGTGATGTCACTACACACACACCGTGCCCCCTAGGGCCGGTACTGCACCTACAGCATGGTGACATCCAGTGATGTCACTACACACACACAGTGCCCTCTAGGGATGGTACTTGCAAAGACAGTATGGTCCAACCATAGCTGCCACTGCTATCCGGTGGCCTGAAATAAAAAAAAAGTATAGTTATAGTTGACCGATGTATGAAATTATTATGTATTTTGATTATAGTACGCTGCTACCGCTATTGTTAATCCGGCTGTTATGGATTGACTTATGCAGCTAGCGAAGGACGCTAGGTTTCGTGATGTGTGTTGTGTGTGTCGCTATTGTATAACTTTTAATCATATATGTTGGGAAAACTTGTTACGTTGTTTATATAGCATTGTTTTTGTAAGTTTTAGAGGGGCTCGGTTTGACCCGATTTTTATATTAGTATAGATTTATACTTAAAAATTTTGATCTTTATTGTATTATGATTGTTACTGGGATCAACATCCAAATGGAATTTTTGTACGCAGCATGGACGGGTTGGCAGGCTTTTTCTGTAGGATTTCATTGTTTACCTATGGGATGTTTAGATTATGTACAATAAAATTTTAGGTGTATCTTATATTTTAATGTTTGTTGCGTTTGAGCCAAACTCAAGAGTCCGAATGGCTCACAGGGTAAATCCTAATAAATTAAACTGAAACATCCAGCGATGTCACTACATATGCACTGTGTGTAGGTGTCTACAGGGCTATGTGAACAGCAGTCTGTCCGTGTTCCACGTGCGCCACTTGGAGACTTCAACACAGCCAGCGCAGCGAGCCGGAGACCCCAACAACAACGACTCCTAACTGCAGGTCCCCGCTTCCTACTCACCCACTACTCACACCCTCCTACTCACCCCTACTAACTCCCCCTACCAACGCCACTACCTCACCCCACTACTCACCCACTACTCACCCCCTACTCCCCCCCCTACTCACCCCCCCTAACTCACCCCACCTACTCACCCCCCCTACTCACCCCCCCTACTCACCCACTACTCACCCCCTACTAACCCCCCCACTCACCCCCGACTCACCCACTACTCACCCACTACTCACCCACTACTCACCCCCTACTCAACCCCCCTACTTCACCCACTACTCACCCCCCCTACTCACCCACTACTCACCCCCTACTCACCCCCCCTACTCAACCCCCCTACTCACCCCACCACCTACTCACTCCCCCCTACTCACCCACTACTCACCACCCCTACTCACCCACTACTCACCCCCTACTCACCCCCCCTACTCACCCCCCCTACTCACCCCCCCCTACTCACCCCCCCCACTCACACCCCCCCCACTACTTACCCGCCCACTGCTTACCCCCCCCACACCCTCACTTACCCCCCACTCATCCCTCCCACTCACCCTCCCTCCCGTTGTTGATGGTTGTTGTTTCTGTGGATTGTGATGTCTCTATGTTGTTGTTTGTTGTCGCGGTGCAGGTACAGGGACTATCGCCAACCCGTCCTTCTCGGAGCAGCAGTATGAGTTCACCCCCAGTTCTGGTTCATCCTCGCAGCGCGATTCGCTTTCGTCTTCTTGTTCGAGGTGCAGGGGGGAGAATGACTATTGTGTATCTCTGTGTATGTTTATATCTCTGTGTGTATATCTCTGTGTGTATATATCTGCGTGTGTGTGTATATATCTGCGTGTGTGTATATCTGCGTGTGTGTATCTGTGTGTGTATATCTGTGTGTATGTGTGTGTATATCTGTGTGTGTGTATATCTCTGTATGTGTATATCTCTGTGTGTGTATATATCTGTGTGTGTATATCTCTGTATGTGTATATCTGTGTGTGTGTATATCTCTGTGTGTATATCTGCGTGTGTGTGTATATCTGTGTGTGTGTATCTCTGTGTGTGTGTATCTCTGTGTATGTTTATCTCTGTGTGTGTATATATCTCTGTGTATATATCTCTGTGTATATCTGTGTGTGTGTATATCTGTGTGTGTGTGTATATCTGCGTGTATGTCTCTGTGTGTGTGTATCTGTGTGTGTGTATCTCTGTGTGTGTGTATCTCTGTGTGTGTGTATCTCTGTGTGTGTGTATCTCTGTGTGTGTATATCTGTGTGTGTATCTCTGTGTGTGTATATCTGTGTGTATATATCTGCGTGTGTGTATATATCTGTGTGTGTGTGTATATATCTGTGTGTGTGTGTATATCTGTGTGTGTGTGTATCTGTGTGTATATCTCTATCTGTGTGTGTATCTGTGTGTATATCTCTGTCTGTGTGTGTATATCTGTGTGTGTGTATATCTCTGTGTGTGTATATCTCTGTGTGTGTATCTCTCTGTGTGTGTGTGTATATCTCTGTGTGTGTGTATCTGTGTGTGTGTGTATATCTGTGTGTGTGTGTGTATCTGTGTGTGTGTATATCTGTGTGTGTATATCTCTGTGTGTGTATATCTCTGTGTGTGTGTATATCTCTGTGTGTGTATATCTGCGTGTGTGTGTGTATATATATGCGTGTGTGTGTGTATCTGCGTGTATATACCTCTCTGTGTGTATCTGTGTGTGTATATCTCTCTGTGTCTGTGTATATCTCTGTGTGTGTATATATCTGTGTGTGTGTGTATATATCTCTTCCGGCGGGCAAGGCTGCGATGGCTGGGTCATGTAGCCCGCATGCCCAGCCACCGCATGCCGAAACAGCTTTTGTTCGGCCGGATTGAGGGGGCTAAACGGGCGCGGCACGGGCTAGAGAAGAGATGGAGTGATGTGGCACAGGAGGACGTGGAGCTGAGTGTACTTGCCGATGACTGGTACCAGCGGTATCAAGATCGGCCTCTGTGGAGGAGGCTCGTGAAGGACGCTACTGGGCAGTTGGAGGTAGTCGCCCTCCAACAACAACGGAGGGCGGAGGAGCGACGCTCACAACAGCGAGCGGAGCGCCGGGTGGCTAAAGCACAGCAGGTTGGCACAGTAGGGGGCACAGGTGGTGCATCAGCCAGTCATCTCAGTCAGTCGACCCGTGGCACCTGGGTCTGCCCCGTGACCTCCTGCCAGCGGGCGTTCGACACTTCACGTGGCCACAGGGTGCACATAGCCTGGCACAAGCGTCGTGGTGACGTCACCGCCACTTAGTGGCGAATGGCGGTTGTTGTGTTGTTGTTGTGTGTATATATCTCTGTGTGTGTATATATCTCTGTGTGTGTATCTGTGTGTGTGTATATCTCCGTGTATATATGTGTCTGTGTATATATCTCTGTGTGTTTGTTTATCTGTGTGTGTATCTCTGTGTTTATCTGTGTGTGTGTGTATCTGTGTCTGTGTATATATATCTGCGTGTGTCTATGTCCCAGCACCTGGTGGTGGCAATCAAGGTGTGTGTGGCGTGGCTGATCCCGGACATTCCGCTCAATGTCAAGACACGCATCCTGCGCAAGAAGAGACTCAAGTACAAGAAGAAGCTTGCCGGTCTGGTGCAGGGTGAGTGGGTGGGACACGGGGAGGGGGGGGTCACAGGGTGGGTGGGCACAGGAGGGGGGGGGGGAAGCAGGGGAGTGTACGAGGATTGTGCTGGGCAAGACACAAAGACGCGGAGACTCCGGTGTGTAGAGACCTCAGGTTGTGCAGGTTCTCAGGGTCGGGAGGCTGGCCATGTCATTGACTGCTCTCTGTCTCTTTCTCCACATTTCTGTGTGTGTCTGTGTGTCTGTGTCTCTGTGTGTGTCTGTGTGTCTCTGTCTAAGTGTGTTGTGTGTCTATGTCTAAGTGCAGGTCTCAGGGTCGGGAGGCTGCCATGTCATTGACCTGCTCTCTGTCTCTTTCTCCACGTTTCTGTGTGTGTCTGTGTGTCTGTGTCTCTGTGTGTGTCTGTGTGTGTCTCTGTCTAAGTGTATTGGTGTCTATGTCTAAGTGCAGGTCTCAGGGTCGGGAGGCTGGCCATGTCGTTGACTGCTCTCTGTCTCTTTCTCCACGTTTCTGTGTGTGTCTGTGTGTCTGTGTCTCTGTGTGTGTCTGTGTGTGTCTCTGTCTAAGTGTGTTGGGTCTATGTCTAAGTGCAGGTCTCAGGGTCGGGAGGCTGCCATGTCGTTGACTGCTCTCTGTCTCTTTCTCCACGTTTCCTTCCCAGACCAGGAGATTCGCAGACGCTCCGAGCAGCCCCCTCCGCCGGACATCGAGGACCTCAGTGTGAGGAGTGCCGAGTCCCAGCCGACTCAGTCTTGGCCGGTCACTCCCCGGTCCAACCGATAACCCCGTCCAAAAAACCTGTTTGAGCCGTGTGGTCAAAAACCGGTTAGCACTTCCGAGCGTCGGCGTCCGGGAACGTTTGAATCTATGTTGTTGTACGTACGTTGGACCTCTTTGGCACCATACGTAGTTAATTGCACTAATTGGAGGTGCAGAGGAAGGGATTTAATTATGATGAGAACACCGACAAAGTCGTGGTGAGACGAGGCCGCAACGAAGAAGGATGTCTCTGGTGAAGGCCAATCAATTGCAAAGACAATGCATACATTATTATCAGAACATGTTTTGCCACAAGCACGTGTGGGTTAATGCAGATTTGATGCCCTGAAATAGCAGTGTGTGTTTCTTGCAGTTGTGGCCGTCTCTCCGATCCGGCCGTTGTCAGCCTCGCGAGATTAACTCTGTTGGTCCAAAATTCTGTTCTGCAAAGCTAAACCTACACCCGCTGTGGAACTGCTATTGAGCCAAATCCACAACTAAACTTTTGTATTTTAGCAGGTGAGGCCCACTGAGCTATGTAGCTCTTTTTCAGAAGCATCCTGGCCATTACGAATTATAGCAGCTCAACCAAGTTGCTGATCTCATCATCACGGGGGAATTTATAGCAGCAGCCAAATACTCTAAACGCCTGTTTCTAAATGTGGAGAGAAAGACCGGAGGACGCGGAGAAAAATCCACACAACCACGGTGAGAAAGAGAGACGCAAACTCCAAATAGACAGCAGCAGGCGTCAGGGTTGGGATCGAACCCACGCACACCTGTGTACCAGGCGAGGGAGATGACATCTCACAGCCACCGTCGCGCCAATGCTGAGAAACCCCCCTCCCCTGCAAAACCATCAATTGAGATCTCACGACAGCAGCAGCAGCAACTTCACACCCCCCCACCCGTCTCCCCAACCCTACTGCTGGGAACAACAACATGGACAGGACCCTCCTGAAAAATAAAGCCATGCGACTCGGTGAGGCTTGCCATGGTTAAACACACGGTCATTGTGAACCCTGTCAGAAACGGAGAGACCCAGACTTGGGGCTTGAACTCGACGTTTAGTGGGCAGTGGTTTCAAGTGACACGGCCATTATGAACCCAAAGAGAGAGACACCCAGATCCAGGGCTTGAACCCAGGGTCTCAGTGGCAGTGCTTTCGAGAGAATGTGTGTGTGCGTATGTACGCATGTTGAACTTCTTTGTGTATGTAAGTGTGTACGTATATTGAACTTTTTTTCACACCGTACGTAGTCAACACTGCTAGGACAACAAACTAAACACAAACATAATTTCTAAAGAAACGAGTTTTCAATCTAGATTATTTAAAAGTGCATAGCTCCCAGTGGCTTCCTAAAATCAGGAGGAAGAGCGGTCCAGACGGCCGCAGAAGCGTATTTGAAAGAGCGCAATGCGGTGAGCGGCTATGTTCGATGACAAGCCAGAAGCAGCTGCTGCGAGGATGAGTCCAAGTGAGCCGAGTTGGAAGCTGGGAGATTATTGATAAGGCCAACGTGGGTCATGTGTGTTGGGCAGTTTCCCCGCGTTCTGTAATAAATCTGTAACCCTTTTAAACTGATCACAAACTCGTGCTGTCCTGGTCTATCCACTACTTGAGGACGAAGCCTCGACTTTCCCAACCCACAGACAACTCTCACACACCCAGGCACATCCACTCACCCACCCACTCACTCACATACACTTACCCACAAACATCCATTCACTCACCCAGTCACACCCACTCACTCGCATACACTCACCCACAAACATCCATTCACTCACCCAGTCACATCCACTCACCCACCCACTCACTCGCATACACTCACCCACAAAATCCATTCACACTCTCATACACCCACACACCAATAACAACCGCCATTCAGCACTAAGTGGCTGTGACGTCACCACGACGCTTGTGCCAGGCTATGTGCACGTTGAGGCCACGTGAAATGTCGAACGCCCGCTGGCAGGAAGTCACGGGGCAGATCCAGGTGCCACGGGTCGAATGACTGAGATGACTGGCTGATGCACCACCTGTGTCCCCTACTATGCCAACTTGCTGTGCTTTAGCCACCCGACGCTCCGCTCATGTGAGCTTCGCTCCTCCGCCCTCTGTTGTTGTTGGAGGGCGACTGCCTCCAACTGCCCAGTAGCATCCTTCACGAGCCTCCTCCACAGAGGCCGATCTTGACACCGCTGGTACCAGTCATCGGCAAGTCCAATCAGCTCCACGTCCTCCTGTACCACATCACTCCATCTCTTCTCTAGCCCGTGCCGTGTCAGAGGAGCTCACCGATGGGACTTTGTCCAGATCTATCAATGATTTGTGAGCTCCTCACAATCCAGCCTGGTTAAACCCAGGATGGATCGTAGTCAGGCCAGCCGAAATGTTTCTAACTAGCAAAGATGTTATATTCGGGGGGTCCACGTTTTGAAAGCGTAGAGAAAGGGAGGGAATCACTGTGACCGAGACGACCTGAAGCTTCATGCGGAGCGACACACCAGGTAGCTTCCACACAGCGTTACGCAACAGATGAAAAGATAATCTCACTCGACTGGTTCGGAGTGAGACCTCTGCTGTCATACCGGAGCCGGTTAAGGGCCCACCTCTTAGTGGCAGGTTCCAGGTTCAGCAGCAGCGCCTCCAACTCCTCTGTGTGAGCAGCAATTACCAGATCACTGGCATACATAACGTGGTTGACCAATAGGGTGACATCCCTTGACCACACCCAGGCATCGATCAGCCTCCCATTGTGTCTGTACCAGATGGAAATTCATTATTAAAGCTTTGTGACTGCGTAAAATTACTCATTGTTTTTTTTTCGGTAAAGTCACGTATGTAGAAATACAATAAAATTTAATAATAGGGTTTTCCCCTTTTTTCTGGCAACAAAACTGAAACCTTTTTACGAGGATTCATGTCTGCATTAACCACAATACTTGCAGTCAAAATGCAAACAAAAAACATACTATGATAATATATGCATTGTCCTTGAAACTGATTGGTCCACACCAAGGGACGGCTTTCTTTTGAGCCTCGACCCAATTGGTGCTCGCCCAGATGACGCCAAAAGGCGTACAGTTCAAAGACAATGCACTATCAAAGTAATGAGGGCTCGGGGTGAGCATCTACATCATTAGACCTCCTTTGCCAGTACCAAAATGTAATAATAGGGTTTTCCCCCTTTTTTCTGGCAACAAAACTGAAACCTTTTTACAAGGATTCATGTCTGCATTTTGACTGCAGGTATTGTGGTTAATGCAGACATGAATCCTTGTAAAAAGGATTCAGTTTTGTTGCCAGAAAAAAGGGGGAAAACCCTATTATTCCCGGTCAAAGTGCGCCATCTAATGGGGAAATGGGGGCATTACAGGAGAAAGGTAAATGTAATTTAATAATAATATTTGGACAAGTTCGGCGGACCGGATTAAAAAGCCCAACAGGCCATATACGGCCCGGGGGCCGTACTTTGCCCATGTCTGCCGTAGGCAGAAAGCAGGATAAACAAACACAGATCGGTTGGGCTTCCTGTGGCCAGAACCCCTCCTGAGGGGAGGGGCTGCGGGGGATCTGTGATCCCTCAGAACCCCGCCCCTCGGTGGGGAATCGTATAAAAGGCGGGCTCCTGAGAGCAGAGCTCAGTTCGCCTCAAGCCGAAGTCGAGGAGCCACCTGGAGACGAGACCCTGGACCCCAAGCCCCGACGTCCTTTTTAGGGCCGGGTCTGGACGGGCCAGTGGTCAGAAACCCACCGGTGCCAGCGGTGGGTCAGCCTCCTTAGCTCCAGCCAGCCGGAGGGCTATAGGAGTAGGCCATTACCCCTTCATGTTAAGTCCTAGTGAGTGTTGTTAAAGATATAAATAAAACGTATTGCTTCCTACTACGACTCCATCTCCATACACGACTACTACATATGCACAAACATGTTAATCGACTGTAACCTGTTTGTGTAAGAGTTAAGAATATGCAAATAGTGGTGTTAGATAAACATTAAGACGGAAGCTTGTGTTGCCTCTGAAACGTCGTAATTTGATTTAGTTGTTTTCTTTTAATTTAATTTAGTTTTACCTACGTGACTTTACCGAAAAAAACCAAAGAGTATGAATCCTTGCAGTCACGAAAGCTTCAAATCTAGAATTAAAACGTTCTTAGATCAACATATACATTTGACTGGATTCGTGGAAAACGTATTTTGGGAGAACAGTTTAAATCTAAGTTGGTAATCAACTCAGCCCGAAAAATAAAAGAGCATCCCTTTGTGTTAAAAACTGTGTCAAGTAGAAAGTAAAATCCCAAGAGCAAGATCATTATTCTGGAAGAAAAAAACGCAGCACAAACGCCTTGCTGTGGCATTTGATCTCTGGTAGTCAAAGTGCTGGATGTCAGCCTACCAAATGGATAATCAGCCAACACACGCCTTGAGAATATTGATGAAATACAGTTACCATTTCTCACAAAGAGGAGGTATGGTGATTTTTTGCCAAATGAAAGGTGACTGTGGGCTCAGAAGAGATGGAACTCGCGTTAAAAGGTCAGGTACAACGCCGTAAATATTTCCTTCCTTGAGAGCAAAATGACCATTCTATCTCAAACACTCAGGAGCATGTCTGTATATTTGATGGCCATTTTCAAGGTCTTGGGAGAGGGAGAAACTCTTAGCTTTTTAATCCGGCCTGCCAAACTTGTCCAAATGTTATCATTATTTAATTAAATTTTACCTTTCTCATGTAATGCCCCCATTTCCCCATTAGATTTCCGTGGCCTGGCACAAGCAGTTAGGTGATGTCACCGCCTCGTAGTTACAAATGCTTCTTGTATGCAAGCGTGTGTGGAAAACTAGTTTTTGTGTTTAGTTTGTTGCCCTTTCCCCACACCTCTGATTAGCACTGTTAGCTATGTACATTGCCAAAGAAGTTTAACATACACACATACAAGCTGTATCTACCAGATGTAATCTACCAGCGGCAGTTTCAGCATTTTATAATAAAACACTTCGACGACGAACGTTGACTTGTGTCTTTCTTTATTTATATCTGTGTCGACTGAACAGTTCCACGCTCCTCCATTCTAATATTAACCGTTCCGTTCTTCTCTGCGCAGCGCGTGTTGACTCCGTCCCGCGCACGGCTCGCTCACGCTCCCTGCTCCTGTGCACCGCTGGCTGGCGGCGCGCAAGGAGGCAACCCTCGGACCGCCACGTGGCCGCTGGCGTTCCGAAGGCGCGAGACGTGGTCCCACTTCCAGACTTCCCACACTGACCCCGAGCCTCTTCCTGCTTCCCCTTATATCCCTCTCACGTGGGGACAGCTATATCGGGGAGATGAAGCGACATATCTCTGACCGAAATCGCGAGCACAAATCCGATTTCAAACACGGCAGAACGAATTCTTCTGCCGTGGCTGATCACTGTTACACCGCTGTGGGTGATCATGATATTGTTTTCTCCGATACCAAGGTGCTCTGCAAACCTACCGGTTATCATCAGAGATTTGTCCACGAGGCCATCCAGATTTACAAACACAGACACAAACTTCAACTGAGAGAATGGTTTCAAATTGAGCAATCACTGGAAAGAAGTTATAAATCAGTCAAACGTTAGCTGCCTTTCAAAATTTTTTTTGTACAGCCATTTCCTTTTCTCAGTGGTTGCATATCAAACTTTAACTACCTTATAATTGAACAACCGTTTGCCACCACTTTAAAAAAAATGGAGCTGTACACATGAAGCAGGCCTCTTCCTCCCCCCGACCCCCCCTCGCAGCATAACAAAAGGTGGGTTTTACCCACTCTCGTGCAGTGCGAAGTGGTTGTTGCCCGCAGTCTATCAAAAGGCTGCTTATCCCATCCCTCCCACCCACTCCCCTTACTGACTCCCCCCCCCCCCCCACCCCGCTTAACCTGTATATAATCCCGGTCATCTCTGAACTGTGCTCCTGACACAGATATTCTGCGTTGACTATTCCACCTGAAGACGGAAGCTTGTGTTGCCTCCGAAACGTCGTGATTTAGTTGTTTTCTTTGATTTTGTTTTATTTTATCTACGTGACTTTACCGAATAGAACCAAAGAGTATGAATCCTTGCAATCACGAAAGCTTCAAATCTAGTGATGGTGGCACTCCGCGTTGTCTTGGCGTGGTTTTTAATTATTATCATTATTATTGTTGTGATTGCTATTGTTGCTGTGATTGTTGTTTTGCTATTTTGCTCATCATTAAATTTGATTACAAATCTGTGAAAAAGTATATTTATTTATTTAGAATTGGTTAACTTGTATTTCTCTTACTCTTGTATGATGCATTGTATTGTTGCAACTCGCTAACTCCTCAAGCTCTTTATGGACATCTGTGAACAAGCGCGTCATAGCTCATCGGATTCCTCCTCCAGTGATAAAAACAGTCTGATTGGCTGTCTTCACACTCGATATACTGTGTGGTGTACACCGTGTGTGTACTCACTGTGTGTATACTGTGTAGATCGTGTGGTGCACTGTGTGTACTGTGTGTACACTGTGTGTGTGTACTCACTGTGTGTACACTGTGTGTGTCTACTCACTGTGTGTACACTGTGTAGATCGTGTG